AACTTGATCGATATAGGGAATGTGCCATTTTTGGGTGGTTTCGCCCAGCAGCTCGTAGTGCTAACTAAAGTCGACAAACAGGACATGTTTTCCTGCCATTATTTCCTGCGTGTAGTGCTGAGTGAAGACATTCGGAACAGAAGAGATGGCCTATATTGTATTAGAAATGCTAGAAAACGCATGTTATCGAAAACATACCACAATGTGTGACCGTCAAATCTGTAGGGTTGTCCATACAGATAATACACTGAAAATCCACCAATTTGACTGGCTTCGTTGCTTCATCCTGATTTTGTTGTTTGATTAAGTCTTCCTGCCGTTTCGCCTTTGCCGCTTCGTATTCTTGTAAATTTGCATTCTCGGCAAGATCAACTACTTCGACATCATCCTCCGGTTTCATTTCCTGTGGTGAAAGCTTGCGACGTTTTGCAGATGCGGATCTCGAGCCTGTTGTTGGCTTTCGTCGTTTTGGTGATATTGCTCGTGTGAGCGTAGCTGGACGTAAACTAGTGCCGGAAAGAGCTCTGCGTCTTTCTGATGGAGGAGCCATAGCTGGTGATGAATCAGTGAGATCAACTACGCCGTAAGGATTGGATGCTTGACTAAGCATTCGTGGTGGCGATGCAAAAGGATCGTCAATATCGCCGGTGGGCTGTGGAAATAAGGAATCCCAGTTAACGTTTGATAGGGACTCTGCGTCCTCGTCGTAGAAAGAGGAATCTCTTGGTCGTTGTGGGGATGTTCTTGAATTTTGTCGAGCCGCTTGATTTGGAGATGGTAGAAGGGGAGGTGGCGATCGGTGTCGGTTGCTTTCATCAAAAGGATCAAAAGAAAGAAGATCGAAGGGAGATGCGCTCCGAGGTCGTTTTATATGACTTCGACCACGTTCTGGATTCGAAAGTATTGTAGATGCGGATGTGGATGCAGTCGCAGTTGCAGTTGTGTTTGCGATTGCATTGGCATTTGTGTTTGCCATTGAACCGTAAGTTTGAGAAGATAGTTCTGGTTGTACTTGACGTGTGCGAGTTTCTGGAATAAAAAGTGGTGATGAGGATAAACCGGGAAGCTCTAATCTATTCCCGGAATTTGTCCGACTGATTGGAGGTAAGGTTAAAGATTCATTTGCCTCCGTTCTACCAACAAAAGATTCATTATTCCATGGCGTACGGTGATTTGAGAATGAGTTTCCGATTGGAGCTGTATTCGAATTTCCATTATTGTAATGAGGTGAATATGGATAGCCTGAGGTCATTTTGGGATGTAGAGATGAATGAGAAATGACAACATAAATACTCTGGTGAATTCGAGTACAATACACAGAGACAGTTAGGAGCTCACAAACAAGACTCAATGAAATGCACTCCAATGTGCTCACGCTTGGTGTGATTTAAATGAAAGAGAGGGAAGGGTACGGAGTAGGTACTGAGTATCAAGTGAGTAGAGAAATAGAAATAGAAATGAAAATAGAAGTAGAAATAGAAAGCTGGAAGCTGGAAGCCCAAAGATATTAAGGGATCGAGTACCCGTCCTTTAATTGATTGTTGATGAGATTTGTTTCACACATAAGCGTAATGGTAATATGTCAGTAGGTAGTAAGAAAAGAGGAAGAGATGAGGTTGGAATGATTTGTTTGTTTGTTTCTTTCTTATCATGCTCCGAGAAGGCAAATTCAATTCCCCTAATCATAAACAAGTGTTGGTGTGGTGGTGCTGTAGTGCTCCGTGGGTTTTTGTGTTTTTAGGGTTTTGAGTTGTAATTATAGCGTAGGCAGCTGAATTTTAGTAATGGTTACACTAAAAAGAGAGCTACCAGGCCCGAAGTCTCACTAGTATAGGAATAAGGAATAAGTAACAAAAATGTAACTTCTGGCGGCCAAAATGTCGGTGTCACGATTCACCATCGCAGGATTAGTATCATGTGAAAAGTATAATCACGTGATGTGCTAGCTCTGCTAGCAGTCAGGAAATCGATAGTATATAGTCAGAATAGTTTCATAGTTTAGGAGCTTCGTGCCCAACTTAGTTATCGATTAGTTTACCTACATTCTACTTGATCTAGTAACGAATTCACTTCCAAGTGAATACCAGTGATAAAGCCTTAACCTACAACTACCAATCAGACGAAACCTCAGGCAGCCGCTGCCTCCAGTACAGTATCGTTACAGTCGGATTATTCGATTCGGAAAAAGATGGATATGGCGGTTAAACAATGATATTGTTACGAGGTTTGCCGTCTAGATCACGTGGAAGTGCTCTAGGCTCTCGAGGTAGTTTATAACTAGGCGTCGAGCAGGGACTTAAAGTAATGACAATAATGATATGCAATTCGTAACTAATAGTAGAGTATACTAAATGATTGATCTTGAGCACGAAGCTCTATACAAAGGAAATCCATCTTGATTATATAGACCTTCGTGTTCTAGCTGATCAGTAGGATCAGTATGGCTCAGTACTGAGCTTGCTGATCCTCACTGAGTCAGTCACATGATATTGGTAGCACGTGAGCGTCTTCTTGTTACCCGGCGTAACAGATTGTAACGATACTGTACCGGAGGCAGCGGCTGCCTGAGGTTTCGTCTGATTGGTAGTTGTGGGTTAAGGCTTTATCACTAGTCTTCACTTGGAAGTGAAGTCGTTACTAGATCAAGTAGAATGTAGGTAAACTAATTGATAACTAAGTTGAGCACGAAGCTCCTAAACTATGAAACTACTCTGACTATATACTGAACAATAAAGGGGGCCCCTAGGAGCTTTCTGGCTCCTCAAGACTCCTTATCACGCGATTTCTGATGGTGCGTGCGCATACGATCTTCAGGTGACCAAGATCACATACTAATTCGATGAAATCTGATCGTGTTTGCACACGGCCTAAGCTCTCCTAATTAATCAGTTTGCTACCATCGTAACACCATCAATCCTAATGGTGAATCGTGACACAGATATACATACAGTTCTAGGAACTCCCTATATAATAATATAACGAATAATATTGTATCTAGGTATTTAAATATTATAAGGCTTTTATTTATCATTAACTATTATCTAGATATATATATTTTAATGAATAAGAATTATTATTTTTAGTATAAAAAGGAATAATGTTACGACGGCGTAACATAACCCGCATCAGGTAACCAATTAGTTAGCAGTATCATGTGACAAGTGTCACCTGATCCGAAAGCCGACCGACTTCGTGAGAATCGATCGGCCCTGAGAATCGATCGGCCCTTCAAGAGTCGATCGACTTTCAGAACACGAAGGTCTATATAATCAAGATGGATTTCCTTTGTATAGAGCTTCGTGCTCAAGATCAATCATTTAGTATACTCTACTGTTAGTTACGAATTGCATATCATAATTGTCATTACTTAAGTCCCTGCTTGACGCCTAGTTATAAACCACCTCGAGAGCCTAGAGCACTTCCACGTGATCTAGACGGCAAACCTCGTAACAAATAACTTAAAAATGTATATTGATATATTTTTGAATTTAAAGTATCTATATCATCAGAATAACCTTTTTTTATTTGAATTTATGTAAATCATTAAATCAATAACCACATTGGATTCAACTTCGAATTCCACCAGACCTGCACACGGAGAAGGCACCCATTAATCAACCAATCGATAAGAGTGAAGTGAGGGGCGAAGAGAGCTGTTAGATACCTCTTATCGCGGACGAGCAGAGATTTTGTATAGCCAGCCTCGTGTAATTCCACGCAGCCTTGTATATGAGACTTATCTATGGCCTCGCAAAAGCTTTGTCATCGAACACTCCGTAGATCGTATCGCGGATCGCGCCCCCGCTCGCAGAAAAAAAGAAAAATTATTGAGAGGGCTACAATTTTCGAGGCTTCCGAGGACATCACTAAAACAATCCGTTATATCGTGTTTTGCTTGATGTTTCAATTCAATATTGTATTTTAACTTCGTCATAACAATGATTTAATACAATTAATTTTCTTTTAATACCATGCTTCTTTCACTCCGCGCTGGTCGTGCAAGTAGGCCAAGCGCAAGCTTTATTCGCCTTGCAAAGTATCGAGCCCAGAAGCCTCAACATATCCTGATACCCTTTAGGCCATGGCGAACATATTCCACCGAAGCAGATGCTGCAAGGGAAGAGTCAGCCAGTACAATTGGTCAACTCAGTATGTGAAGAAGATCTTGACATTTGACTTGAACCTCAGCTAAGCAGATGTAGAAGACGACCCGGAACTTCGATTAAATGAGATAGGAGTACAACAAATAAGTGGTTATGTGTACTCTCAAATATTCGCGACGGAACAATCGCCTCCTTCCCAAGAACTCATAGATCTCTCAATGGATCATTTGCGAAGGCATGAACTGTTTGGGAAAAACACCGACCATGCCCCTCCAATATGCTTCGACCTTCCTGAACTACATGGTGACACACTTGATGAGCATTTCTACAAATTAGGTATTGATGCTTCCGAACCATACTTGACATATGCGAAGGATTTCGCCAAGGTGGAAACCCCTCCTCGGCCGCTAGAATGGTCACATCAAAGCGGATGGACGAAATACGGTGGCGATGGTTCGATGGAAAGCGTCGAGGCGCCAAATGAGGATATGTTATGTTTCGATACGGAAGTTATGTGGAAAGAAAGTTCATTTGCCGTGATGGCTTGTGCCGTTAGTCCTACACATTGGTATACTTGGTTGTCGCCGTGGCTATTAGGGGGAAACCACCAGCGACCGTCAACTGATACCTCTCGGAAATCCAACTAAACCTCGAATTATTGTCGGGCATAACATCGGATATGATCGGGCAAGGGTAGCTGAAGAATACGACATAGTTCAATCGAAGAATAACTTCTTGGACACTATGTCATTACACGTTGCTGTCAATGGAATGTGTTCACGTCAAAGACCAACATGGATGAAGCATAGAAAAGATCGAGAATTACGCGAAAAGATCGCTGCGGAGACGGACAATGCGGAATTAGCATCATTGCTAGGGCAAAGGTCTCTTATGGAAGAGGAGGAAGCAGAATTATGGATAGGCAGAAGTTCTGTCAATTCATTGAGGGATGTTGCCAAATTTCATCTCAATGTCACAATCGACAAAGCGGAAAGAGATGCATTTGGTGAATGTGGCCGCGAAGAAATCATGGCGAAGCTTGATTCACTTTTAGATTATTGTGCAGCGGACGTTGACATAACCCATCGAGTTTACAAAAGAGTATTTCCCAATTTCATCGAAACATGCCCGCATCCCGTCAGTTTCGCGGCGCTGAGACATCTCTCATCGGTAATACTCCCAGTCAATAGGTCATGGGAATCCTACGTCGCGAATGCCGAAGCTACATATCTCAAACTGTCTGATGCAGTGCAAGAGCGACTTCTTGCACTTAAAGAGAAGGCGTTGGAGATCAAGGATGATAAACCGACATGGAGTAAAGATCCTTGGCTGAGACAGCTTGATTGGTCCGGTCAAGAGATCAAGTACCTGAAGAAAAGAACAAAGGACGGGGATTTGAAGCCAGCTAAACAAAAGATGGCTGGTAAGCCAAAATGGTATAAGGATCTCTACCCAACAGCCGCTGGTCCTATTAATTTATCGGTCCGCACTCGAATCGCGCCGTTACTTCTACGCCTAGCCTGGGATGGTTATCCATTAGTATGGTCTGACAAATATGGCTGGACCTTCAGAGTCCCAATTGAAGAGGCACATAAGTATACTGAAAAGCAGATGCAAGAGTGTAATGCATTTGAAGCTCCTGATATGGCTCTACGAGACGATACTTCCGCTGCTTACTTCAAAATTCCGCACAAGGACGGACCATTGGCAAGGTGTGGAAATCCAATGGCGAAAAGTTACATGCAATACTTCGAGAAAGGTATACTTTCATCCGAGTTTTCGTATGCAAAAGAAGCACTTCAGATGAATGCTTCTTGTTCTTACTGGATAAGTGCGAGAAGACGTATACAGTCCCAGATGGCTGTCTACGAGACGGACGGAGCAAAGGGCCCTGCAACATCAGAATCACAGTCGGAATCACATTCAGAATCGCAATTAGAATCACAATCAGAAAATCAATTAGAGTCCCAGATGGCTGTCTATGAAACAGATGAAGCAAAGGGCTCGGCAACATCAGAATCGCAGTTGGTGTCGCAATTAGAATCGCAGTCCGAATCGCAATCGGAATCGCAGTCAAAGCCACAGTTAAAATCGCCGTCAGAGACGGGCTATATTTTACCACAGGTCATTCCTATGGGGACGGTGACCCGGAGGGCTGTCGAAAACACATGGCTTACAGCAAGTAATGCCAAGAAGAATCGTGTCGGCTCAGAACTAAAATCAATGATAAAGGCACCACCCGGTTATTGTTTTGTTGGTGCAGATGTGGATTCTGAAGAATTATGGATTGCTAGTCTCGTTGGAGACGCCCAGTTCAAACTACATGGCGGGAATGCCGTCGGCTTTATGACTCTAGAGGGTACCAAAGCAGCTGGTACGGATCTTCACTCTCGAACAGCGAGTATCCTTGGTATCACCAGGAATGATGCCAAAGTCTTCAACTACGGTCGGATATACGGGGCTGGTTTGAAGTTCGCGTCAACCCTGCTCCGGCAATTCAATCCTAGTCTTTCGGAATCTGAAACTTCAGAGACTGCTGCCAATCTCTATAAAGCTACCAAAGGCGTGAAGACCAATAGAAAAGCTCTCCATCCCGGGCCCTTCTGGCGTGGGGGAACTGAAAGCTTTGTGTTCAACAAGTTGGAAGAATTCGCAGAACAAGAAAAGCCACGGACCCCAGTTTTGGGTGCAGGAATAACACAAGCCCTGATGGCACGCTACGTTTCAAAGGGTGGCTTCATGACATCACGCATCAATTGGGCAATTCAATCATCGGGGGTAGATTATTTACATCTCCTCATCGTATCCATGGACTACTTGATTCGTCGCTACAATATCAATGCCCGGCTAGCCATCACCGTTCACGATGAAATCCGATATCTAGTTAAAGATGATGACAAATATCGTGCCGCATTGGCATTACAAGTATCGAATTTGTGGACGCGAGCTATGTTTTCGCAACAAATGGGAATCAATGATTTACCACAATCCTGCGCCTACTTCTCCGCGGTGGATATTGATCATGTTCTAAGAAAAGAAGTCGACATGGATTGTATAACCCCTTCACATGACACCGCAATTCCTCCTGGCGAATCAATAGACATCCAAAACCTTCTTCTCCAACCTACCGCGCGCCTCGATCCTACCATTGTCCCCACAGATCCTCCAAACCCCTCCATTATTCCCTATGAATCCCGTATTCCAGTCATGGAATCCCTTCAAAAATCTACTGACTTAATGTTCTTGAAAGCGCAAATCACTTCTAGTGACCAAGAACTCAAGGATATTTTGAAGGAGAAGAAGAAATTAGATGGAAAGAACGCACCAGGGGAACGAAAAACTAGAAAAAATGACGTTGTGCCATATCATACGTATGCGCACTTAATGGAGGAACCCATAATGGTCAGCGATGCGTTGAGAGTGGGTAGGTCATTTGATGCGGCCAAGGGGAGAAATTGGGCGTGGGATGTTAAAGGAAAAGTGGGTGGTACGAGGAGTGGCGCGGGGGCTAGAATGTAGATGAAGGGCTTGAAGTGGAGTTGTGTGGAGGCGTATTGGGAGATTTTCATGCTTCTTTTCATTTGGGATGAATTCTATGTATGATGATATTTTGGGCTCAAGGGGGCGGTGGAGCGAAATGTACTAGGAGTATTGGCATCAGTATTGGTATCTAGGATTTTTCTTTGTTCATTAATTGGCTGATTTGTACTATACGGTTCACTAGCACGTGGCTAAAACTAACGAGGGAGAATTTGAGGATAGGAGAGGAGAGGAAAGGAGGCAATGTACAAGTATGTTTTTAACAATACAAGTAAACATTAAATCATATACCGAGGCTTAAGCACATCTCAATGTTTCTTGCCTTTTCTCTAGCTATCACGTATTAAAATGATGAATGAGGTGTAAGGTTAGGCCACACAGCTAACCCCAACAAGACTAGTATAAACCAAACGTCGCACCTCGACTTCTTGACTTCATTCTTTCAACAGCATTGCGATTTATCAACAACAATATTAATACATCTATAGGAGATTGGCAACCATGACAAGAATATTCGCGTCAGCATAGTCATATATATATATTGTTCGTCACCCATCGATGAGCAGACTTGAGGAAGAAAGTATGAGGAGTCAAATGGATGTAAGATTAGGTGAATGTTCATTTAGGAGACAATATCTACAGGAGGGAATGTCCCAACGGTACCAACGTACCTACTTCATTCCTCTTGGAATCCTAGGTTAAAAGGTGGAGAAGGTTTGGTGTAAGAATTGGTTTGTATATATGAAATTCGACCGTACTATTTGATATGAAGTTTACACTACCTAGATACCTGAATATAAACTCTTGTAGACTGTAGACTGTAGACTGTAGACTGTAGACTGTAGACTGTAGACTGTAGTCTACGAAGTTACATGTAGTAATGTGTGTTTAAGAGTGGAGGTTTATATATATGTATGTCTTTTTTCAGATTTTAGGTCTTGTGTCCCGAGATGGTGTTTCATGTATTTCTTTTCCGGGTTTGATATTCAATATTTGTGACTGAAGGTTGGAAACAGAGGGATGGAGGGGAGGGCTTGCCCCATGATTCGATTGTGGTTTTTTTTTGTTTGTTTGAACTTGATACTCTGTGGAACGAATGGTCGTTGTAGTTCTTGCGTGCTGGTGTGGGTTGAGCTAATTGATCTAGTTGATTTGGTTGGTTGGAGTATAAATTTTTGAGATATATCCTCTTTTTTTACCTCGTAAGGTTTTAGGGATCTTTCCATGCTTCTCATTAGAGCGGAATAGTAATGTGTGATTGTGTAAATATACCATATACCCATTCTCATTGCACAAGTCAGTAGATAAGTAAGTATTACGTACGTAAATAACAGAGTATATTTCCTCCCCTGCATCTGCACATCGCAGCTAGAAAGTATATCCTTAATAATCTTACATCCGTATTACAGCATACATTTTCCAGGGAAAGCTTTAAGATAGTTGACTGTTGACTATTGATATACCGATTCTGATAGTATGATAAGAATTATATCACCCCTATTCCATTTTTATAGATATAGATTAATAAACTAAGGTTACTAGCTAGTTTAAGTTTAAGTTTAAGTTTAAGTGTGCATGGGATGAAATAGATGAGGGTTATTAATAAGACCATATTCGCATATCTTCGATCTAGATGATGTAAGATCTTAAGATTTAAACTTAGATTTGTAGGGTTTATATATAGTGATATTAAGTACTCTATATAATGTAGGCTACCCTTGATATCTCATTTAAGGTTGTATTAAAATTATAAGCTTAGATATATTTACTTATTAAATTCCTACTAAGAAGGGATCTTATACTTTTCTAGGTTTTGTTATGGAGGGGGAGAAGAGACGAATTTGAGTATTAATGGAGTGTAATATACATAGAGTTATAAACCCTATTATAATTTGCCAAGAATGAATTTTACAACAAACTATTTAGCACACCCTCTCACTTGCCCGTCAAAAAAGAATATCATAAAAAACAATAAAAAAAGATCATATACAGATCCCATTTCAACTATATCTTTTCCCCAAATCTATCTACATAGCAAAACACAAAAGTGAATATTCAAGTTAGAAAAACGAAACCAAAACCCAGTAGCCAGCCCTTCATCAAACACTAAACCGAGTAAGTGCCCATCACATCACATCGACAATTCACCGATCTCTTTCCTACTAACTCCCTAATTTAACAACTACCACAACAACTTCGTACAACCCAACAACATAACTACCACACCAAAAATTAGCAAGATGAATCATTCTCGCATTTTCCATCTCATACCCGGCCCGATATCCCATCCATGTGTGAAGAGGAAATAAAAAACGAGACATACCGAAAAAATAAGTTCCCGCTACAGTTGGCAAAACCCACGCACTTTGCGCAAAAGCGAATCCGGAGTTTGTATTTGAGATACCTGCTAGACCGGCTAATGTGATAGAAAGTACGAAATTAACCGCTATGCGGATTTTATCTGCGCGGGTCATTTTGGGTCGGCTGAGGACGTTGAGAATATTCATTAGGATGAGGGTTAGACCAGAGGCGAGGAAGAAATATGTAAACTACCTGGGTTAGTGCGGGCTGATTTGAGGTTTTTGAGTTGGGGCTAAGGGAGTGGAGAGGGAGATTATTGAAGTGAGGGTAAGGGATAAAGAGTGCTCGCTGATAAGTGATGCGTGATGATGAAAAAGAAATTTAAGAGCTTATTATACCTACCACAAGAGTAAGAACCCCTAAATTCTCATTCCATTCTTCGTTGGGATCCGTGACTGCATTATCACTTTCCGGTGGATCAATCCCAAAATTATCAAATAAGGAATCTTGAACGGTAGAAAATAAAGTCGTAATATTTCCCAATTGTTCTATTGATTTAAATGTTGTGTTGCCGATATTGAACAAAGCCTTTTCAGTATCCGTAAACGTTTGTGTGAATTCTGGTGAAAATTTCTCAAAGATTGTTTCGGTGATGTTTGCTAGGCGTGTTTTAAGGTCGAGACTATTGATGGCGGGATTTTTCTTGAAGTTATCCACATATTCTTTGCTGACTAGACTTTGGGGATATTAATATACTGAGGCCTTGAAGAAGAGGCGTGGTGAGTTGAAATACTCACTTAATTACTTCGACAACTTTTCGCCATCGAATAAATTGCGCAGCACCTTCCACGAGAAAAACTAGTGCGAGATGGAATGGAAAATGTAAAAATGCCCATATTTGTTGGCGCATGGAGCCGAATTGGGATCGATTGAGCCAATCAAAGTATAGCATGTAGAGGAAGTACTTGTTGGCATGGTCAGTGGCTACACGAAAATCTTGAGAAATGGAGACATACAATTATTCCAACAGCTGATACAATGGTGAGAATTAGTGATGCGGTCCATGACTCCTCCTGTTCTGCAATCTATATGAAAGTCAATAAATCACAGCCATTGACCAACAGCTATGAGGCACATACATCCGCAATGCTTTTGCTAACTCCAATGATACCCTCCCCCACTGCAACAAGAGTTAGTGATCATTCATCTGTATCTCAAGATCAGTGACTCACAAATAATCAAAGTCAGTAAAGTCATTCTTTGGACGAGATGGGATCCTCTAAAGCTCAAGACCTTCCACTTCGATGATATAGCAATGTTTACGGCGGTCTCCATGATAGCCGCGATATACCAAACAATAAATACCTTTCCAGTCTTAGATGTTTCTTTCGTGAACCCACTATGGAAATATTAGCTAAAAGTGATGTATAAGAATATGAGAGCGACGAACAAGAAAGTAACGAAATATATCATTGCAGCAATGCCATTTGCCACAACGATAAGAAAGAGTGGAGTTTTGGAATTCTTATAATACCAAACATGGTACTGAACGTTGGTTAGCTACGGAGTTTTCTGTCAAAGGGCCGGAGTAGCTTACCAGTATAACTGAATACTGAAAGCTTAAAACAAGTCGTGAAAACATTAAAATGATTGCCAATGACCGGAAAGCTCCGGGCTTTTGGTCTGATGAATTGAAATCTGGTCCGACAATTGCCAACCCAATCATAACACCAAATTGACACGCCTTTCCAATCCTCTCCAATACACTATCCGTAACAAATCGAACGTCAAAAAGGCTAACTTGTAACCATAAGAACCAAAGAATGCAAAAGAACCCTGCATATGACTTAAGTGCATCAATCTCGTTGACATCGTGAACATCGTTGAAGGTTGTCAAATTCGCAACAAAGAAAAGGTCATAAAAGAGTTCCATATTGGTTGTCTCCTCATATCTTCGAAATTCGGGAGTTTCGAACATTTCTTCTTCCGCATCATCCTTTGGAAAAGGGTCAATCTTTCTATCATCATACTGATTTTCGGCTAATTCGTCGTATGATTGTTTTCGAGCAATATTAATAGGACCAGATATGTTGTATATGGCACTCGGGGGTGTGGGGGTTACCGAGTATTTTCGTCTGTCATGAGCCAGAGGACTTTCGAATAACTTTAACTTTGGCTGAGACCTCTCGTCTTCTTGGTACGTAGATATGTTACTGGAGTTCTTTTTCAGCGGAGTTGTGCTGGAGACTGAGCTTGATGAAAGATGTCTGTTTAAACTTATGATTAGCCAAATATGATAGGACTCTCAATCTGCTGCTCCTCATCGGATATATCTAGAACCCTACTGACCTTTCGTGCGACGACATGGTGTTTTTCAATAAGCGGTAAATCCTGAGATATCACCTCTGAATGATTCAACTATAGACCACACAAATAACTTGGAATGAACGACAAGGACTTAAAGAAACAAGACTTACGTGGTTTTCCCCATAAATTATAGCAAATAGAAAAAAAGTAAATTGGGGTAAAAGGCATTTGCGGCACGCACTACACAGATCACTAGATCTAGGAGCTCTGTAGAGCCATCCGTGCGAGTTTGAGACGTTGTTGAGTTTATGTACCCTCATTAACCACCGCAGATCTAATGCATTGAAATCAACGAAAGACCCTAGTCTCGCAGAAAATAAGCAATCAAGTTTCCCAATGTTCTAAACCAATATGTGCGGACGAGATTGTCGTGGAAATGTAATGTTGATGTTTTATCATCCTTTCGTGACGAAGGCCTTCATACGCATTGTCCACGGAGATGCTTCATGAATCCAGCATACTCTCTAAACTTCCCAATTGTGGAATCCGGCTCTTTCTGACATCTCGGTTTCTTCTCATCCACAGTTCATCTCTTCTACCTTCCCATTCGCCAAGTCTTATCGTCACCAAGAGAAAGCTCCGGTTCGTGGAAGATGATTCGACACACCACTGTTTCAAAACCCATATACTTCCCACGGACGTTGTCGGAAAAGCTTGCTACCACTTGAAACAAATGAGAACGGGCAAAATCATAGAATTTGAGTTCTTTTAAAACGCGGCTTAGATTGATGGGTATGATAACGATAACTAGAGATTATTTCTCGAGGGTTTGTTGATACATGAATGAACAGGAAGATGATCTCTGGATACCGAAGTTCTGTCTCAGAACTTCAGATTGCGCGTACATGAGGATCATCATGATAAACTTCCGTATACTTCTGAATTCTTATTCCAAGTCCAGTTAATATGTGGGACGATTCTTATTCTTTTATGGCAATTGTGGTTTTGATTTGGCAAAATCGAGTGGTAGAGGATCTCACTGTTGTTCGGTTTGCCAAGTGCTTATGTAAGCCTCCCCTCATCCCCGCAATCTATCTGCTTGTTTGAATCTGGGAGTCCAAACCTTACATACGCAATATAATTCCCAGCGTATATGAAGGATTATAGGAGCTGTAGAGTTGGTCTATATATTCCCACGAATATTCCATCACCATTATTTTACACGAAACATTTCCTAAGCAATACACAAACGCATTTATCATTATTTGCTGTCATGGTACACAACAAGCATTTCTTTTCGCCATATGCTTCCCGATATCCTGGCCTCGTGGATAGCTCTGTTTTTCAGAAATTGTTGCATGTCCAAATATGCTGGAATATAGGCTTTGGGGGCTAGATTATGGAGTAGAATGATTTGACTTTCTAAGAAGCTTTCCTTTATGTCTGAGGTCCCTGGATATAGGACATTAGGCAGAAGGACTGCGACCGCAGGTAGAGGGATGTAATACTGTAGTATCCGCTATGGAATCTCCTATTTTTCAGTGTCTCGCTCCGAATATGCCACCTGATATAAGAACTGCTTATTTCGATGATATTCTTCAAATTCCATGAATTTCTCCAGAGGTGTAAAGACTTACAGAGACCATATTGAGAGATTAGGCACCATTCGCCACATGTCCAAATTGTTTTTCCCTTGGCTTCTATGCTTCTGCTTCCATAGCCCCTCCGGCAAGTATCGCCTCGACCATCGATTCATTCCTCTGCCTCCCGCTCTTCCCCAAATCCTTGGCTTTCCTCACCATACTCCATTGTAAGTTACCCGCAAATTTACCATTTACCGAGTCATAATCCTCGTTAAAATCCAATCCTGTCCCTACAAAAAGCCGATCAATAGTCTCCAGCGACTGTCCCGCCGTCTCGGGATAAAAACACCAGACAATGGCGGCATTCACCACATTCAATACCGCAAAAATAACATAAGTCTTATACCCAATATTCTCCAAGGCCGGCGGTGTAATTTCCACGACTAAAAAGTTACCAAGGAAATCTGCGGCTGCGGCTAAAGAAGCACCTTTTGCGCGGATTTTTAGTGGGAGGATTTCAGGGGGATAAATCCAAACTGTGGCCATCCATCCCCATGTAAAGCAGGCTTCGAAGGCAAAGATGAATATAACCGCAATAATGCTAGCTGTAGGTGTTTCGAGGGAAACACAAATGGCTTCGGCAATGAGGACGAGACACATTCCGATGGCGTTGGTTATAAAGAGTTTGCGACGGCCCACACGGTCGATAGTCCACCACTGTTTTGGTTAGCCTTTGAAAGGAGTGAACATTGGGATAGTATATGGGGATCTAGAGTGATGACGAACTGTAAGGAATGATGCGATGATATAAAATAATTGTAAAAAACATCCCAGGAAAAGTGACCTCTCTTGACTCATCCCCAGACTACTTTGAAATAAGGTAGGAGCATAATAAGTGACGATGTTAATACCTGTTGGAATAAAGATTAGACCACGAAGATATATTACGCATCAAAACAGACTCACCACTCATCTGCTGCATAAACTGAATCCCCAAAGCCAGATAAAATCTTTTGTTAGCCTTGATTCCATTGTCCCTGAATAGATCTCCCCACGTGCCTTCCTCCTTCTCTTCAATCATAATCGCCCCCATAATCTCCTCCTTCTCCTTCTGGACCCTAACATCATCAACGCCCACGCCTCTCAAGCTAGCCAACACCAAGAGCCCCCTATCCTCATTTCCATCATGCCTTATCAACCATCTCGGCGTATCCGGTAACCAGACCGTAACTACTAAGATATAAACCGCAAAAACACATTGAAAAAGCAAGGGAAATCGCCATTGCAACTCAGATTTCCGAAAGTAAACCCCATAATTAATCCAATAAGCCAGCATGAGGCCGAAAAGCATAGTGCTCAATTGACAACAAACTTGCCAACCTCTCTGCGCCGCGGCCGAAATCTCGCTTTGGTAAACGGGTGTTACACTAGTAACGTATCCGATTCCAATCCCTGTAATCACGCGTGCAACCATAAATTGCACCCTTTCATAAGAACTCCCCATTAATACACCCCCTACCATTACAATAAATGCCCCCAGAAGAAGTGTTCTTTTTCTCCCTAGGTCTTCGGTGGTAAATGCAGCAGCGATGGCCCCGAATACAGCACCGACATCGTAAAGTGCCGTTATTGTTCCAATCATTAATGTACTTGGGTTTCCCATGCTAGAAAGCCAGTAGGACGATATTACGACGCCGGACATGACACCTTGATCATATCCGAAGAGGAGGAAGCCAGCTGAGCAGACGGAGGTTATGGCTGCTATAAGTGGTGGTCCGTGGAGGAATTTATTATGGCTGGGTTTCGAGGACATTGTGGAGATTTGGTGGTGGCGAAGGAGAGGAATGAACGTTAACAAGCTTTTGAAACGTCCTCAGACAGACAAATTATATTCGGTAGACTTTCCATACTTCTTTTCTCGGTCAACGAAATAGCGAGAGCGAAGGGTGTGGCCCATTGTGACAACAAACACAGATGATGTCGGTAGTTGTATCTAATGCTAATCATTTCCTAAAAACCATAAGCGAATGAAACCCTACGTTCGTCTCCCCACGGAAATTCGGTGGATGCGGGGGCGGGGTGTGCGGGGGAAAGTCATAAAGATGGGGAAAGATCAGCATATATTGGAAAAATTATGGAGAGTAAGTGGGAATAATGCCTTGTGACGAAATGAGCCCTTCTTTCTTTAATTATTGCCCAAAGGCTGACATACAGATATTTACTCTTTGATTGAGCTGGCGAGTTCAAACTAGCATGTTCGATTGCACCACGAATGAAGTGAACCAGGTAGGCACTCCAGACTGCAGTCTGACTAGGTTTCAAATTGGTTCCAATCAATATCTGAAATATCTAACCAAGTAGAAAGAGCGAAATGAATTCCCAATCCCTCCAGATCTGTTCTTGTTGCAATAGCAGAGATCGGCCGCTCAAGGACCCGGCCCTATGGTTTCACCCCCGCATCCCCTCCTACATTTGATTCTGGGCCTTTTGGTAAAGGATTGTAGAACCAAACTTCCGCTGACGCCCATATCAGTGTTTCTGACTCAAATTTTACCCCTCGTTCGGTTCCGTACGATTGAATCGCGGGGTGGATGACTAAAGTAAGAGGGTGGCCATTTAGCTTGTCTCCGTCATCTTCGATCACCATGGTATGAAGGGTCATCTTTGGGTCATTAATGTCGTAGAGAGAGCTCAGATCTTTGAGTGTAGATATTTTGAGCGCTGGCCGACGTGTCCGGAGATGGTACGATAGGTTAACCGCCTGCTGATACAAATCATGAAGTTTAGCCATCCTTCTTGGGTTCACATCGAAAAGGTACTTAGCAGGACTACTGATAAAACTTTCGGCTTGCAAGTTTGCTCTTCCAACAAGTAAGTTCTGCATCTTTAGTCTGGTAGCCTCAGCTTTGGCATGACTAGAAGCCTCCGGGTATATCAGTCTCACAGTATCAGCGCGCCATTTATGGGCATCTTCGGGACTCCCTGCTTCTGTTAGTTATGTAGCTAATCAAAGATAAATCCTCCTCTTAAGTCTCTGTATTTCGATACTGATACTGTTATTAGTAGCAGGGACCCATTTACCCATTCCCGATACATCGAAGCACTTCTCTTGCAGGGCACGCACCGCTCGATTGCATTCTTCTCTATCCTGGTAGTTTTTTTCCTGCAGTTCGCTTTCGCGCTCTCTTATTTTCGCTATTCTTTCTTCATAGCTAAAAGTTCTTCAAGCCTTTGCTCTAACTCGTCTCGGAGCCTTTTCGAATGTGGATGGTCATTCATGGGAAGATTATGATAAGGGTCCAGTTCCTCTTCATGGACTGTAGTGCGCGACGTTTCTCTCCGTAGGTCAATCGCAGATGGAGCTTGAGTTTTGGTCTGTCCGGCGGTTTGTTCAGAGTGCAATGATCGGGTAATATCTTCAGGATCCAGAAAAGGCCTCAAATTTGCATGACCCTCAGGAGAATCATGATCATGCATGGAACCGTGCCAGGCCACATTAGAATCAAAATTTTGAGCATTCGTGTGGGTGTTAAGCTCAACTGAGGGTAAAATATCGCAGTCTTCAGATGCGATTGTGGGTGAACTATTTTCTGGGAGCTTGAAAGGCTCCGGCGGTGAATTTTGTTGGCAAGGGTGCGTTTCTCTTGTGAGCCCCATGAACACATTACTTGCATTTCTTGCCATAGAACATTGTTTACCTCTAGTATTGGTCTCTAAAGAGAAGACTTTGTGGAATTCAAAGTACTTGTTGAAAACAGAAAGCTTTTTAAGTGGACGCCTGAAAATGTGTCTCTGCTTTGCTCGACTTGGGTCATGTTTATGTCTCTCTTCTTCGATATTCTGGCCGGATATCAACCGTTTGAGGCTGAATGATAGGGACATTTTTTAAATCTTGAGTTTCTACTTGAGAAAGGTAAACAACACAAGTAACATTCTCGGTAATAACACGGCTCGCTGCGGCCTTTTCAATCACAGTTGCCAATTCGACAGATTTGCTGGAGGTTTCATCTATCGGCAAGGAGGCACTAGAATTGTGTCGTATTATGCGGCTTCCACAGAATGCTCTTGTGTCTAGGAAATTCTAGAGTTTACCGTATTGAAGGATGCGACATTAGAATGATGAAAGAAATAGATTTCCTATAACTCCATGAACTTTTGGAAGAAAATTTCCGATCCCACAAACATTTGAACTAAACATTTTGATACGACAGTCACCCGAGAATTCACAGGATGTCGCCTTCTAGTCCAAACAGAGAAATTGGTACAGGTTTACCTCCCCGGCACAGAATTGTCATTGCTATAGACTATGGAACCACGTATTCTGGTACGTATCATGATTATGATTCCCATTCTTCGCTGATTCATCTCTAGGTCTTAGCTATGCTATAAGCAACGCCGAAAAAGGCACAGAATATGGTATCGGATGGCCACGCAGCCTGAATACCGACAGTCTCGGAAAGATTCCAACCAAAATTGCTTACAAAGCGGAGAATCTTCAGTCGTTGCAAACGGACACCTGGGGCTATGCGGTGGGAGCAGACTCAAAATCGTGTTCATGGACCAAGCTCCTTCTTGACAAGAGTGCCTTTAAGAACAGAGACGATGAAGTTGGTCCTAGGGAAAATATCGATGAAGGAATGATGCATCTGCCACCAAATCGCACTGCTAATGGCGTCTGTGAGGACTTCCTCCATGCGATGTATGTTCATTTTGTCAATGAGGCCCGTCAAAGAGTTGGAACGGAAGCATTCGATATGTCCCCAATGGATTACTGGATTACATTGCCCGCTATATGGTCCGATGAGGCAAAGCAGGCCACCTTGGATGCTGCGAAAGGGGCTGGATTTGCCAAAAACTCTATGGATCAAATACGCACTATTGCGGAGCCAGAAGCTGCAGCTATTGCAACCTTGCAAGAACTTGCTACATCTGGCTCCCTCGACGCTGTGCAGGTGAGCTGTCGCAGTACTTGAAGTTATTGTAGACTCGCTAGTGTATTATCCAGTGCGGTGATAACATTTTGGTATGTGACGGTGGAGGAGGGACAGTAGATATCACCACATATACAATTACTTCGGTTGGAGTAAAGTTAGAGTTTAAGGAACTCTACATTGGAGCAGGTCAATATACACTTTCATTAGAGAGGCATTTGGCCGTTGAGATAGCTTTTTCTCCAGAGATAATATTTACTATGGAAGATACACAGCTAACTAATTGATCCCGCAGGTGAAAAATGTGGGTCAACCTTCATCGACCGTCGTCTTCACTTCCTCTTGTCGGAGCGATTCGGCAATGCTTTTAAAGATTTGCCATGTGAGAAAAAAGGCCCGGACAGCAAATTCATGAACGCTTGGGAGTTTCTCAAGAGGGATTTCGGCCACGACATCAACGATATGGGTACATTTGATCTGGGTCCCTTGAAACTCAATTCGCCAAGTTCAAAACATTATGACGACATTGAGCATGTTGTTCATCTCTCATGGTATGCTGACCCCAATTTCAAATGTGATTACTGCCTCCGCGGTCATTCATAGTTTTACTCTTCAAAGTCACACTATGAGGAAGATCTGGAGCTGGTGGTCCATTCATACTTTCCATTGTGATTTTTCTAACGATTGCTCAGCGGAGATATGAAACATTTGTTTGATCCAATCATCAATCAAATACTCGATTTGGTGCGCAGTCAAACAAAGCAAGCGAAGCGTCAAAGGAATGCGGAGATCGATGTGAGTTTCAAGTTTAAGTTACCATAGTCCGCTCTCATATTGACTCTTATGAAGCGTATAATTTTAGTCGGTGGGCTTGGGGGTTCGAAGTATTTGTACGAAAGGCTACAATCATGGTGCTCCGCAAACGGGAATGTTAAAATTCTATGCCCTAAGGACCCGTGAGTATCTTCACCTGGGTATTTTCGCTCATCTAATCTGTTCAAAAGTCAAACTGCAGTCCTAAGGGGTGCTAGAATTCGCGGCCTGGAAGAAATCGCGCCTTTCGTCAAGTATGCTCGTCGCCACTACGGTTTTCGTATTGCGCTTCCTTTCCGGAGGTTTACCTATGATACGAAACACGCTTTTATCGACGAGTTCACGGAGCGGTTATTCTGTGCAGGTCGCATGGTATGGTGTGTTTCTAAGGTAAAAAAGAAGTTGTCCACAATGCATCCTATAGAAAAAATTTAATACTCCCAGGGCGATGGGATAATTGAGGGGTTTTATCATCGAGAGGGTTGTACGGCTTCTTATACTCCTGGAGAAGAAGTGACCGGTGCGATTTGACTCTATTCATGCGAAGGAGATGAGCAGCCTGAACGGATGGATGATCCAGGTAAACCATTGATTATTTCTCCAAAATGCGATGCTCAATAGACTTAATCATTCTTACTAATTGTTCTTCAGGCGTCCAAGAGATCGGTCAAATAACTTTTCATTTCAAGTCGGACTTCGACTTCGATGCTGCGAAAGAATCAAGATTCATTCGTCGACTCAAGAAATATGTTTACCAATTTCATTTCGACGTCCAAGTCGTCTTTGGTGATAAAGGAGCTAATTTGAAATTCAGAATAGCTGTGAATGGGAGGGTGATTGCTACCGTTCCGATAAAGTTTACCGATCGTTGAAGTGGCAGCAGTGAAGTCGCCAAAAATCACAGGGGGGATTACAGGGAGAGAGTTGTCAAAACTTTGTGACGTGGATGCAGTGTGCATAGAATTTGAGCTCATCTGAGGAGTCGATTTTGTTTTCAGTCAAATGCGATAAATAGTGAACGAGACAGCTTTCAAGCAGATAGCCATGCATTCATCGGTCGTTTCAATTGCAAAATTTGCCTTTTGTCCTGAAAAGACTCTAGAATTGTTATGTGAGTGAGGCAATGGTGTACATTTTTGGCCATGAAAAAACAATAACAGGTTGAATATCATTCAGAATAGAAATTCGCTGTATTTAGAAGAAGACTGTCCTTACATCTGTAGATGGCATCCGAAATTAAAAAGTGAAAAGCTACCCACAGTCCCACTTCTTTTCTCCCTCTTTCTTTTCTCTTTTTCTTTTTCTTTGGCAAATGCGGATTCGCGGCATTCGATTCCCAGCGAAATTTTTTCCTCCTGACCTTGCGGCTCCGGCTGAAGAGCTTTGATGCTCGCACTATATTTAATTGTCATCGCAAGCAAGGCCAAATTCGAGTTTCGGTCACTACTTAAGCACCGGATCTAAGAGCTTTGCGCTTTTTGCGACTTTCGTCTGTCAACTTTTGAATCTTGATGCGTTCATCATTGAATTCTGCTATTTGCTGGCGTAACCTCCTCTACCAAAGGCCTTAGTTGTTCAGCAAGGTCATCTAGATAAGGCTTTACAAGATCTAGCAATGTCGTCTCATCTAAGCCCTTGAGCAGTCTTCCGCCTGCGGTTTCTGGGCTCGTTCCAACTCGCGGAGGAACAACTCTTGGCTCCACGGCTTCCGTACCATAATCAGGCTCGCCTGGGCCAGGGGTATAAAACCAGACAGTTGCAGGTTTAACAAATACTTCAGAACAGTAAAATCGCGTATCTCTACCAATCCTCGATCTCTCCCGCCCAAATAACTTGATATGAGGTGATATAACCATAGTTATTGGCTGACTTTTTCCGTCTCCTTCGAATCTCACATTGGCTCGACCGTGTAAATCCAGGGCCTTGTCCTTAGAATTATATGGCTGGCCCAAGATGTCTGAAGGGTTCGAAACTTCCAACACCGTTCTTTCGCCCCAGAGTCGGTACGCATGTTTGGCAGCGAAGGTATATGTGCGTTGAAGTTTCTGAAGTGCGCCCGGATTTTCATTAATAATATACTTCGCAGGGCTCCGCATAAAGTCTACGGCTCCACGAATCCCTGCTTTGTAAATGAGCTGGTTTGTTTGCGCTTTAACTCCGCTCTCCTCTACACCATTATCCTGTGGAAGAATGAGTCTTATTGTATCTGAACGCCGAGTTTGAGCATCTTCTACATTCCCTATGCATCATCAATCTCCTGTAGCTAGGATTGTATTGGACGAACCTACATGCATTTCCCAGTGATAAAATGTCGTTAAGGCTTTGAGAAAGCTCTTGTTACGTTGTAACATTATAACTATTATCACGTGTTATAGGATCACATGAATAGTCTTGTGAGGGAGCGAGATTCGAATCTCGCTCCCCAGCTCCATCGCTCCAATGTTGGAATACGAAGGTCTATATAATCAAGATGGATTCCCTTTGTATAGAGCTTCGTGCTCAAGATCAAGATCAATCATTTAGTATACTCTACTATTAGTTACGAATTGCATCATTGTCATTACTTTAAGTCCCTGCTTGACGCCTAGTTATAAACCACCTCGAGAGCCTAGAGCACTTCCACGTGATCTAGATGGCAAACCTCGTAACAGCTCTGGTCCCAAGAAGTAAAAGGGATCTGAAAAAATGGTCGAGAACAGATGGTGGTTAAGCATATCACAGTGTGGGACCTAGATAAGATATATAATATTTTATAAAGAGAGAAAAAGATACTAGCAATGATGAAATATGTTAAAAGGAATGACCTCTCACAGGGAATAGTGGGAAGCTGATAGGGCAGAACTGAGGTAATATTGGTCTAGTGTTACGACGGATCTCACATACCTAACATCACGTGATTAGCATCATGTGATATGAGGATCCCAGTAGGCTCAGCTGTCCCAGTACAACTGGGACAACTGGGAGCACTGGGACGCATGCCACGATGGTCTATATAATCAAGATGGATTTCCTTTGTATAGAGCTTCGTGCTCAAGATCAATCATTTAGTATACTCTACTGTTAGTTACGAATTGCATATCATAATTGTCATTACTTAAGTCCCTGCTTGACGCCTAGTTATAAACCACCTCGAGAGCCTAGAGCACTTCCACGTGATCTAGATGGCAAACCTCGTAACATCTAGTAGGTTAATCTCTCATCTAAGTTCTACGGAAGTGCGAAGCTCTCTTACAAAGAGCTTCTCAATCTAGTCCTAATAGGACTAGTGCCCTGTGCACGTGCTACGCAGGAACCATTCACTTTAACAAAATAGGATATAAATATATAAAACATCCACTTTAACTATTATTAACCAGTGACAGTTTTCCAATATTAAATTAAATTATTCAGAATTTTGAACTGTGTAATTAATTATAATGAAATTGTAAAAAATTATTACTTTTATTATTTATGTTACGAGGTTTGCCATCTAGATCACGTGGAAGTGCTCTAGGCTCTCGAGGTGGTTTATAACTAGGCGTCAAGCAGGGACTTAAAGTAATGACAATGATGCAATTCGTAACTAATAGTAGAGTATACTAAATGATTGATCTTGATCTTGAGCACGAAGCTCTACAAATGGAAACCTATCCTTTATATAGAACTTCATACTCTACTGTATTCCTTTGGATCTCTTGGATCTACTGGATCTAGAGTTTAACTCTATAGATCCTCTAGATCCCCTAGATCACTCACGTGATTTTAATCAGAACATATGTCTGTGCTTGCTGAGGGTGGGGAGACTCTATGAGTCAATTGTCATACAATTTTGTATGTGAATCGACTTGCTTTTCTACAGGGTCCAAGCTCATATGGACATGTTGACTGTTACTTCGTATGTCACACTCAAGAATACTGGGTAAAGTATCTTGTATTAGAAAATACTAAGCTAAGGAGAAAAGAAGAAGGGAAACAAGAGTAGAGGGTTTTCCTGTGATTAAATACAAACGGGGCATGCCACGTGACCCGGAGGTGTGAGGCGTCACATCGTAACAAAATAAATTTTTAAAATCTTTTGATTTTCTTAATCATGATATGTATAATTTCAAAATAAAAAAAATAGAAAATGTTTATTTGATTTTCTTTGAATTCCAATCAATTATTCTATTTTAAATACATTCTAGTAAATTATTTTGATTCTTTATATATATAACGTGGTTTATCAGCGAGCGGGCCATATCACCGAGCGGGCCACTTTTACCTCAATTTATATCTTTCAACTTCAATACGCGATTTATCAACAATATATTATGGAATCGAATAATCAAGAAGGTCGAATACTTTTAGCTATCGAAGTTATCAATAAAGACCAAAAATTAAGCATTCGGAAGGCTGCTAAGCTATATAATATCCTGTGTACAAAGATTCAGCGCAGAATGGACGGTACTACCCCTCGTATCGAATCTCGAGCAAATAGTCATAATTTGATCAAATTAGAAGAGGAAGTGCTTATCCAGTATATAATCGATATGGATGAGAGAGGGTTTGCACCTAAATTAAATGGTGTAGAAGATATGGCGAATTATATCCTCGAATCGCGGGGTGCGAAGAAGGTTGGAAAGCTCTGGGCTCATCGCTTTGTTAAACGATGTCCAGAATTAAAGACGCGTTTTAATCGCATTTATGATTTTCAAAGAGCTCTCTGCGAAGATCCCAAGCTTATTGAAGAGTGATTTAGATTGGTATCGAATATGCAGGCGAAATATGGTATTGTCGATTCTGATTTCTACAATTTCGACGAAACCAGCTTCATGATGGGTATAATATGCCCTGGAATGGTTGTAACTAGTGCTGAACGAAATGGTAGAAGCAAGGCAATACAACCAGGCAATCGAGAGTGGGCTACAGCAATTATATGTGGCAATGGAGAGGGTGAAACTATACCTCCATTTCTGGTAGTTCAAGGACAAGTTCATCTTTCCAATTGGTATACCGAAACCGATTTTCCTGCGGATTGGGCTATTAAACCTACTTCCAATGGATGGACGAATAATGAAACAGGGTTAGAATGGTTAAAGCATTTCGATAAACATACTATTCGTCAAAGAAAGGGCAAATATCGAATGCTAGTATTGGATGGGCACGAAAGCCATGAATCAATATCTTTTCAATCATATTGCAAATCAAATGATATTATATGCCTCAAATTACTACTACATTCAAGTCATTTAACTCAACCACTCGATGTTGGGTGTTTTGGCATACTCAAACGTTCATATAGTTGTCAAATTGAAGGATTTATCAAAGCTCATATCAATCATATTACCAAGGTTGAATTCTTTATAGCCTTCAAGGCTGTATATTTACAATCATTTACTATTCAGAATATGAAAGCTGGTTTTCGAGGAGCAGGTCTAATACCATTCGATCCTCAATCTATACTTTCAAAACTAGATATTAGGATTCGTACTTCTACCCCTTCATCTACCTTCTTGGAACTTACCAACTCCTGGATCTCTCAAACCCCTCATAATCCAACTGAGGCTCTCTTACAATCAACTCTAGTAAAAGCTCGAATAACTCGTCATCAATCAAGCTCTCCTACACCTATATTTGAGACTGTACAAGCTTTAGTTAAAGGTACAGAGAGATTAGCATATGAAGTTACACTTTTGAGTGCTGAGAATCGTATGCTTCAAAGAGCAAATGAGGTATTAAGTAAACGTCAACACGCTAAAAAAATTCAACTACGTAATGAAGGAGTACTTACTAGACAAGAAGCTAAAGATATATTATCACAACAAGAGGTTGATAATCAGATTCAACGCGACGAGCGTCAAAATGGGGGAAATTTTAATAGGGAATCATCTACTAGTCGATGCTGTAGTAAGTGTGGAAAGACTGGTCATAATTCAAGAACTTGTCAGAATAGTATAATAGATCCTAGATTATTAGATTCTTGATAGTTTCAATCAATTGATTTAATTGTTGTTAAATAATATGGGTTTGAAATGATAAATTGAGGTAAAAGTGGCCCGCTCGGTGATATGGCCCGCTCGCTGATAAACCACGTTAAATAATAGAGCTATGAAAAGTTGAACAATCGTCAATTTTGGTATGATTTCGCTTAGTATTACTGATCGATCCTCAATCTTGCTTTGAAATCAAATCCGCAAATAGCTACAGATCGATGTATCCGGGATATCCTTGACCGAATGGGAGCTTTTACTGGTGCGACTGGACACGACTGGGCCCTGGCAAACAAGATTAAAGCTCGTCTAATTCTAAGAGTGGGAGTGGGGGAAAGGGCAGACAATGAGAGCTTTGGAACAACTTGGAAGAAGGGTTTGCGATCCTCGTGACATACAAACTCCCGAGAAAGTCTTGATTCCAATATTGATTCCTTGGAATTTTCGGATATGAGAAGGAGAATATAGTTAGCACCAAACACCTGGAAGTTGCAGCTTGGAAGTTGTCGAATATGGGAGTTACCGAGGTGTACGGAGCAGAAGAATAGGTGTTGGGCTAACCTTAGCTGACTCAGCGAAAGTCATAATCTCACGTGTTGTTCGTTCTTCTCGGCGGCTCGGTTGCATCCTTTCTTTATTTCTCTCTCCTGTCTACTCTCCCCTGCCTATTGACCATCCATTCCATATCCCCTGTCCTTCAATTCAATTCTCTTTATGTATGTTCAGTCACTATACATGCTCATGCGAGCGAATGGAAACACAAGAACATGCGAAGATCCCAAGAGTCATCTGAGCAAGTATAATCGAAAAGGGCAAGAAATTCAAACTTCTGGGTGACTTCTGGATAAGGTTTGTGGGGCAAACATGTCTTGGCTCTCCACATGTACATAGTCATCTAATTATCGTTTCTGATTGATGAGAAAGGAGCATTACCCTTGTCAAACTTCCCCAGATTTTATGGGTTCGCGTCCTCAGGTCCTGGTAGTGCATCGGAAACGTTTGACAGCTTGGCGTCGGAACATCTATGCCGAAGTGGCTAAAGGCAGTCAAAATGTCCGTCCTGTTCAATACCACAAGTGTGCTTCCGTTTTTCCAAAGTCTTTTGATTAAGTTGGCTAGGAACATGAGGTCAAGTTCCTCTAGTTGTTATAAATAACAGAATCTCCCATGATGGAAAGAGGGCATCCTCTTACTCTGCACATGCTTTTGCGCCCATTTCTTTCTACACAATCTCAGCCATGAAGTTTTTCTATTCTGCATTGGCCTTTGCGCCACAAGTCTTCGCTGCTCTCACTTACAAAGGAGTTGATTGGTCGTCCGTTACAGTTGAGGAGCAGACCGGTTACTCTTACAAAAATACCGCTGGCACTACACAAGCGCTCGAAACTATCTTGGCTGCTTCAGGTGTCAACACTGTGAGACAAAGGATATGGGTTAACCCGTCAAATGGTCAATACAATTTGGCATACAATTTGGCCCTTGCTAAACGCGCCAAGGCTGCTGGATTGAAAATATACCTTGATTTACATTTCAGTGACACATGGGCTGATCCGAGTCATCAGGTAAACAGACCTCTCTTCTCATAACCAATCTCTAATCAATTGATACTAACTTCATCCTTACTAGAAAATCCCCTCCGGCTGGCCCACCGACACAGTCGGCAACCTGGCATGGGAAGTCTACAACTATACTCTCGCCGTCTCTGACGCTTTCGCCAGTGCTGGCATCTCTCCCTCCATAATCTCCATCGGGAACGAAATCCGCGCCGGACTCCTCTGGCCCATCGGCGGAACCTCCTCCTACTACAACATCGCCACGCTCTTGCACTCCGCATCCGCCGGCATCAAAGACTCGACTCTAAGCACCAAACCCAAGATCATGATCCATCTCGACAACGGCTATTCCTGGTCCGAGCAACAATATTTCTACAAGACCGTGCTTGCACAAGGTCCCCTCCTAACCACCGATTTCGACATGATGGGCGTATCCTACTACCCATTCTATACATCCGCTGCTACGCTCGCCAGTCTCAAAACTTCCTTGACAAACATGGCTTCAACATGGGGCAAACAACTTGTAGTCGCCGAGACAAATTGGCCATACGCTTGTCCATCCCCCGCATACTCCTTCCCATCCGACGCAATATCGATTCCATTTAGTGCTGCGGGCCAAACAACATGGATTAAGAACGTCGCCGCTATCGTGGCGGGTGTTCAAGGTGGAGTTGGCCTCTTCTACTGGGAGCCTGCTTGGATTAATAATGCGGCGTTGGGAAGCAGTTGTTCTGACAACTTACTCGTTGGCACTAATGGAGTTGCAAGATCTAGTTTGTCGACTTTTGCTAGTATCTAGTTTCTAGATTGTGGATCAGAGGTAGTAGAGTAGAGAGGGGAAGGAGACAGATGTCTAGTTTTCTAATTGTTTTGTATATACTGGAACTTTATTATTTGTACATAAAAACACAACACATTATTATTATACTGCTGAGATGCATATCTCATTATAAACTACCAATCTTCTTCATGCATTGTGAATGACTAGGCCGAATTTATCTATTCAATCATTACCACAACAAATATGCATGTCTCTAGAAATAACCTCATAATCTTCTTATTTCCATTTCGTTGTAGATACACGAACATTCCGCACTTATGATCCAGGTATTCATACTCCAAACAGTTTTCGTAAAATACTTCGTATGAAGCACAACATAAAAAACAATGTCTTTCAGTCATTGGCTTAGATTCATCGACCAAACTCATCAATCATTAATCATTTCTCATGAAGTCTTGATAAACACATTGAGATTTGTTCGCCCAACAATTCTAATTCCATATGTGGAGCTTCTGTATCTTCAGATGAACCCGAGAACTTCAGTACTCTTTCTTGGGCAGTTTTCAAAGGGACAATATATTCGCTCTCGACTTGTGTCATCATTCCAGGTGGTATGATATTGGCATATTGCTCTGCTGTGATAAAAAATAAGAAATTCAGCGCAGCCATGTGGACTGCAAATGATGCCATTAAATCATTAGTCAATTCTTCATCCGAATCATCAACAAGTATTGAAAGATTTGGGAAGATTTGGGATTTTGTCTCTAGTAGGACAGAGCTGGTAGAAAAAAGATTTTGTGATTTCCTCTCATGGGCTGTAATTAATTCCTCCTTGAGCCAAGTAATAGCAGATACTTTCAGAGCTATCGCGCTGATTTCATCTGGAGAACCCTGGAGCGTCTTTGAGATGAAAACCAATCTTATCGCATCCACGGGATGGGCGTGTAATATGGCAGACGTGAGTTTATGTGTACAGTACCGCAGACCCGGAGAAGGATTTGTGGCAGACCATAATGATAAAGCCCGTAAATGTGCCATATAGTCATTGTCCTTGAATTCTCCAGATACAAATTTATTTGAGTGCTCTAACCATAAACCAATCGCAACTACAGCATCAACGATGGCAATAGATGATCCATCTGCAGAGTCAAAGAATCGAGCGACAAGTTTCGCATGATCAGGGAATATGGACATGACCGGCTCTGGGCTTTTTGTTTTAAACATGAGGGAGGAAAATACTAGTGAGGTGAGAAGGAACAAGCTACCATTTGGTGATAGTGGGATCTCTTCCGGGGAGTCAGGTAGGTTATCTCTGGGGTCTTCGTGTTCCGACCGCACCCGCGCAATTGGTGGAGTAGCATAGATCGTATCGAAAAGCAGATTGTAATCGGCGAGTCCTAAATCACGGCAAAGAGCCTCGCACGAATTAGTAAACAGGCTATTCATCAGATGTGCCAACATACGACAATCTGTCCAGTCACTTCATCCCGAATTTGAAGACCGGGGTCGACCCGAAACGCTACACACAAACTTGTTCTACCAGCCACGACTCGTTCGGGCTCAAACAATTCTTGCAGACGTCCTGCCCACTCTATCGGATGTTCGTTTATGTAGAGACCCAATATATGTACTGCGAAGCCTTGTAACAACTTCTGCTGGATGGCAGACTCATAGGACTCCTCCTCCTCTGATTCTGGATCTGGTGCAGTTGGCAGTGAAGAATCTACCTCGTGGCGCATAAAATTGGTAATGCTGAGACTCGATTTTCGTCCAGGGAGTGTAGGGCGCTTCTTGCCAGACAATGTCTGTATGAATTTGCCAACTGCAAGTACTGCCTTGTGGGAGGGATGAAATGCATTCGTGATTGTATCTATGGAGTTCGCAAGGAAGCGTGAAGGATGTTTGGTCTTGATCCGAGGGTGAATTATAGCAAGCAGACTGAGTAGAAGGCAAAAGCGATCAATTTCGTTTGATTCTTTGACAGCAGTACCTTCCTCATTTTCGATTGGTTCTTCATCCCAATTGTCTTCCACATCCTCGAGATCCAGCTCCGACATTGCCTCCACAACTCCAATTATAATCTCTCTCGGATTTGCGAGGCGTGCAATAGTTATGAGACAAGATTCGGAGCCAGGAACTCGAAGAAGCGTAGGCATGATGTCCCATCCTATCAAATTCGCCCGCTCTTTGTCTTGAAGCACATCATTTAACGATGAAAGGAGCTCTAATCGCAAGTCTACTGCGGGTTGATCATCAATTAATACCTTTGTGATAAAATTGAGGTACGCCAAATGATCACCCACAGGGGGGGCATTCGCTTTGATATCGACAACAGGGTCGATACGTGGCTCCATGTTGTCGGAGACTATTTAGTACAGTATTGTATTTCGTCTGAAGACAGCAGGGCGTGGGGAAGGGAAGTTAAGAATCTGGCAGAATTCCCAATGATGGTTGGTGAGGGCGGTGTATCATTTAAACTATCACGTGTTGAGCACTTTTCTTTTTTGCAATCTGTGGATATGGACCCTTTCTGTTATGATTTCAGGTGGCAATCAAGTGATTACTCCTATTGGCAGACGGTGCATGGCGAGGAATCCTTCTGGCGGTTGCATGCGCCAGTTCAATGCATGCAATCTGGTAGTCACCGTACATTAACCACTCAACTTCATCAAATGCTCGTCAAATATGCGCCTGTCACAGGGTTCCACATCCCCCCTGAAATGCTACCCACCTCTCGAACAGCTGCATAGATCAATAGGTTTTCCCTACTCTGCTGGAAAAGCATATGTGAAGTGGTTATCTGCAACTTGTTCTTCAGTCCTTTTCCATTTTTTTATTCTGATAGACTTTTATCTATCTCTTGTCACGTATGCATTGCCTTCACCATGTCTCCTTTTCATCGACTAGTTCTCGTTCGGAATGATTTAATATGAGGTTCAATCATGGCAGGCTTCGGTTGGTCCGCTGGGGATTTAGTGGCCGCAATTTCAGTGGTTACGAAAGTATGCAAAGCACTCAAAGATGCCGGCGGAGCAAAAGAAGATTATCGCGAGAGCGTTTCGTTTCTAGAAAGCTTGAGTGTTACTTTAGGATTGCTACACAAGTACTATGAAGCCAACCTTAATCAGAATGATCTTTCCGACCTCAAATCCCAAATCCTACTGATACAGGACCCGGTCGATGCATTCACGAAGAATGTGAAGCTCAAATATGGGCCTGAACTGGGCACACAACCAGGAATTGGCTACCGGGCGGTGGTGAAAGGGGTCCCCAAAAAGATCAAATGGGCATTATGGATGCACAAGGAATCTGAGAGACTCAACAGCAGGATTTCAACTCCCTTGGCTGCTATCCAAATGCGTCTAAGCATTCAAATCACGTATGCGTAAATTTCCGATTTAACCTTCTTATTACTTTAGTCACATCAATCCTTTTCGGAAAAGACCGGCCACTGCTTCTTTGGAATACATGAATATTAACTAGAATCAGTTCCATAGTATCCACTATTCCTGGAGATGTTTCCAACAAGATCGAGGGTGTCATGAGAACCGCAATTCCAGCACTGATTGAGCAGTCGCTAGCTCCACTCAAGGAATTCGCAGAAAAGAATCGAATAGACCAGCTCACCTCCAACAACATCATACAACAAAAATTGGACATATTACCTAAGATTTTGGCTAGCAGGCTCGAGCCAGGGATGGATACAGTTCGTAGATGTGGTGATCAACGGGGTCGAGAATTAGACGAGCATCATGAATCGTTGTCGAACAAAAGCATCCGGATGGAGGATCGTCGGCAGCAAGAGATTTCGATACACTCTCCGGAATCGTTTCCCGCGGCGGATGCGATCATTCGCGAGTTTCGAATCTTGTCAGAGGCAACCCTTCTCAATAACAGTCTTTTGGATAACAAACTTGAGAAAATACAAAAGCAGCTCTATCACCGGGAAGAGAATTTGACTCGAGGTGGAATGAATGCGCTTGCAAGCAGAAAGCGGACCATTGTTAGTGACAATGCACTGCTGAGTATAGTTGAAGCAGCAGCTAGTGGATTAATTGAATCACACTCTACGAGCTATATAGCAGAGGATGCTGGAAACAATTCATGGAGAGAAGCTGGCGACCATTTTCAAGAATTGTAAATATGTAAAATCCTTTTCTCCATTTCTGGCTCACTGACAAGGAACATAGCATTCGTCTACTTCTTCAAGGATTCTATAAACTCTTTATTCGATTGTGGTATGTTCTCTACATACATCCTACTTCGGTAGAATGCCTGGTCCTGGTTGCTCTTTTTGCATTGCTGCCCGGGGAACTAGCTAACATTAACCAGGCCACTTTTTGCATCTTTTCTTATCCAGCTGAAGGTAATGCAGCGATGTATTGTACATTTACCTAGCCTACTATCTGAAGAAGATATCACTTTTATCGATGTTCTTGGAAATTCTAAAAGACTACCTTATAGCACATATGGCCATTGGGAGGTGCGTATAATCTCTCATGTACGATCCGTCCTAATACATATACATGCAGATCTTCAATAAGTTCCTCCGAGTACACTATAAGAACATGCCCGGAGAAAGTCAAATCCTGGCACGTCGGTATACGATCACAAGCCAAGATGGGCACATGCTTAACGAGAGTACATGGCTGAAATATGCTCAACCTAAAGCACTCATATCTATGACGGTTGTCCTAACCTTCAGTGCTCTCGAGAGCCGATGCCCAAAGTGTGCCTGGCCGGTAAAGGAAAATCATACATTGGGAACAGGGAAACTAATCACTTGGTGAGTCCCAAAAAAGCTTGTTCTAAATTCTCCCCTAACAACTACTAAAGTCCGAATCGAGAGTGCTTGTTGGAATTTCGTACTATAAACCAAGAAAAGCTTTTGTCTACCATACACACGCAAGAAATGCGTCTTTCCGAGTCTGCATCTTCAAACTCTCTTGTCAAACAGAAAACCAGAGTCTCTGGCCTTTCGGTGCCATTCGTGCCTATACCCTCTTTTCCTATTTGGCTTGAGGTCGCCAGGTCTTTAAAAAAAGTAGAATATGCAAACATGAGGGCAAAGGCAGATGCAATCTCACCATCTAGTCCCGATACTCCCGATCCTCCCAATATACATTTCACTTCCGACGGGCCAGAGCCATACAGACATCTTCTGCACGCGGAAAAGATTGATTTTCCGAATACGCAGACGTCGGAAATACACACTTTCACCCAGCTTGTGTCGTCACGAAAGAGAGAGCTCGCCGATCTCGAACAATACTTCAAGCGCGTGCATTGCGTTTCGGAACCCCTTCCACCATGTACTATATGTTCATTTTCAGAATACAAATACCCAGATGACGTGGAGCGACACATGCTCTTACAGCATTCGCGCATCTATTCTTGCATATTCGACTTCGGAGGGTGCAAAGAATCATTTACGGATAGAGCTCAATGGATTTGTCATATTGAATCCCGGCATTTGAATTGGCTATGTCACCGTGAAGAATGTCCTAATGAAAAGATAGACGACATGAATCACTACCATGGTACCTTTCTTTTCTTCACGATGAGGCAAAAAGCAGCGAAGCTTGCAATACGTAAGCAGAGGGCAAGTGAGCTTCTTAGGGTGTCTCTAAGGACACCAAAGAAGGCCCCGGTGCATCTCGGGTGCCCTCTGAAAGGATGTGAGAAGCTGTTCGGAGAGGATGAGTGTTGGAATAAGAGGTTGGACCATATTGGGAATCATGCAAGAGAAAATGCCACACTTGTCGCGGGGTATCTTTGTGGAAAATTGTCCATTGATCATTCTGATGATGGCGCTTTCATTGATTGGGCTTTGACTGAGCGTATTGTACGCCGGGTTGGCAAAGGATTTAGGTTAGTTGCTCCTGGGTAAAGTTCAATCAATTGTTTGTGAGCTAGGTGTTAATGAGGAATTGTCATGAAACTGAGAGCGAAATGTCAACTTGGGCAACATATGGATTTTCAGCTTGGAATGCTATACCTTGCGAAATGGCTGCAAACTCTTTCGTTCCTAATTACTCATTGAGGTCATGCTTTGTACCCCATTAGTAGATGTAGAATTACCACATGTCAGTTGAAGGTATGTTATTGAATTGGCTTTGGATGAAATTTCTTACCTTTCCATTACACAAAACGTTGTCATCCCAGCCTGTTCAACGCCTGCATTTCCCTATGTCCTAATAGCTTTTCAAGGCGTCCCAGTACGAACATCCGGCCATAATCACATGACTAATAGGGACATCACACCCTCCAAAATCAGACGATCCAACTGCCACCCCCCCCCTCCCCCCCTATACCTCCCCCTAAAAACTGTACTTTTTATGCACGGCTCTCATCCCTCCCTTCATTCAAAATCGCCGGGCTTCCTCGACCGCAAGCGTAGATACTATGGCCACGGCTCCAGAATAAACCAAAACAACAGCAAGCAGTCCATCAGATTTCCACCGATTTAGCAGGTCCGACATACGAAGTCCTAGGATAAAACCCTTTTCATACTTTCTTCATACATCGACTAAGCCTTCAAGAATCAACTCACGCAGAACATCTGCAATTCCTCGTCCTGGAAAGCCGCAACTGCCGTTCACAGTATCCTTAACATCCTTACAGGATCGACAGACAAATCTATCCAATGTACCTGTTAAAAATTTCGTAGAGATACCTTATATATTATATTACCTATTCCCTTAAGAGCTAGCATACTCACAATTATTGAATAATTAGATCTCCTACACCAATTGCAGAGACCATATCCCTAGCTTGACTTCCATCCTAGTACCCGCGTAAAGTTTGCTTGCCACCGACCACCAATCACCAATTTATGTGAATACTTAGCTCAATCCAGCTCAATGACCTCTAGACTTTTCCCACCTAACCTTCTTCGTCAACCTACCATTATGTTCCATGTCATCTGCCTCAGACTTTACATGCTCGCTGATCCAACGTACGTAGAGGACTAATACCATGAAATTTACCTTCGTCATTCATGCTAAATGAATTATTACCACCACCACGACCACCAATACCACTTCTCTCTCTAGAACTCAGGCTCAAAGTCGGACTCCTAGCTCTTTTGATCCCTGCTCTATATTCCAAGGGCGCAGGTGAGACCTGTTCTTTGAGTCTCGCCACCTCAACCAAATCATCTATCTTAACATGTAGTTTATATTTTTCAATAAGCGCTTTATTTCGTTGAGTGACTGCCTTATCTGCTCGATCATTTGCTTCTCGAAGTTTTTCTTCTACCTCGTCAACTTTATATTGAAGCCTTCCGATGTCATGCTGCAGTTCATTGATGAAAGCTTGTACTTTTGGTGCTTCAATGTCTAGGCTGTTTTGGGTTTGAAGCTCATCGAGACGTCGCTCAAAGGTTTCTTTTTCGGACCGAACAGTGGCAAGTTTTGTCTCAACATCTTTCTTTTGAGACTGGATAGTGATAATTTCTGCGGTAAGTTCTTGTTCCCTAGTCGAGGCCAACTCTAATTAGGTGTTCAGTGAGATGTTTTTAGTTCCAAGTTCGCCCATTTTGGCCGAATCGTCAGCCATTTGTAACTTCAATTTCGCATTCTGCTGACCTATTCTCTGTGTTCCAATTCGCGAACCTTGCGAGTCTTCTGGATGAGTTCGAGCTCAGATTGTACCCTCTGAAGGTCCTGAGGTACTCTGAGCTCTTCTTTCCCACCTCTCGAACCCTGTTCGGCCTCCAAAAGGCTGGCTAGAGGTACGTGTGCATTCGAATCTATTCGCAAAGCCTGGGAATGGTACTATGGGAGAAACTTGGCACCTGATGAAGTCATTGTTAGGGTACCTTCACCGCGGTTGAGAGTGTCTCCAGGGTTAGGGCATTTGTTTTTGGCTTGTCGTTTGGAATCCAAAAAGATCCATCATCATCGTGATTTAAATACTCGTCCAGATCAGGATAGCTTTTTTCATGCTTGACTTCTGGAATGAACGCAGGTGGTTTCGTCGAACGCAGCTTCAGAACTAATTTTGACTGTTGCACTTCCAGCTTTTGAGCTGGAAGAGGGCCGAAAAATGCGACTCATGAGTGTGCTCGAGAGATCATGGGAAAATACGATTGTGTTAGGACGAGATCACTGAACATGACTTCATTGTCCACAGTTGTGCAATCCACAATCTTTTGTAAACATTGACAGACTTCCCATGCTGCCATTTCATCTTTTGAGTCTTTCTCAAAATCATTATCAATATGTTGAATCTCTGTGCAATATCATTAATATTAGATTTGAAGCTTCGGGTAAAACAAAACATACCTCCGGTTATCAAATCCGAGCGTTTGTGACTGCAGGTACTTTCTAGGTGTAGTGTGACGCAAAATTTTAGTTCCACATTATGAAGCCTAAATAATTTCCCGGGCTTCGTTGTCTGCCCAAGAAACACAGATTTCCCCTTTCTTGGGGCCTGGACGAGCTCGAATCGCACGTAGCATATTCTTGAGACATTCACCGACCTGTAATTGCAATGAACTGAGGCGCTGGTCATCTAGAGATCTTTTACCAGCCTCTCCCCTGTCTAGCTCTTGTATTACCTGGGTAAATATGTCGACGATAATATGATCACAAGAAAATATCTCGACGGGGATATCATCACCGGAATGTCGCATGTGTGAAAGAATGCAGTCTTTACTATTTTCTGCATAGCTCTTCTCAAAATCCATCCACTTTTCGTGAAGGAGTAGCTGGGAGTGGTCGATGTCTAGGTACAAATCAAGCCCAAAGTTACCGGCCTTCTTGAACACTAATTTGAAAGACTTAGTTCGAGTATGCAAAGCTAAAGCAGCACTGAGCGTTCTCATTATACTCGAGCAATAAGGACTGGGTAGAGGGGAGGCAATCTCAGCGTTGGACATTATGTCTTTCTTGTATTCCAGTGACGTTGAAGCAAGGTTGTACTTTCTCAATGGTTTCCATATTCTGTCTGGTAGTGGAACGGGCTTTTTCTTTAGCTATGATGTGATAATTACAGCATCCTATTATCCTTTTAATCAGTGTATTCGAGAACTTCCAAAGTTTTCGCATCTCGTACCTTGTCAGCATTTTGTGATCCGTGGTAAAATGTCTTCTTTTGTGGATCCTGTTCTAGGAGTCTCTTCAAGATGACTTCAGCCATGATTTTAGTCATTAGACCAAATATATTACTAACACTCTACCATCTTTTCTCTGTATCCAAAGGCATGGCAATATAAATATCAAGAGACTTGGAGCTGTCCTGTGTAATTGATTATTCCCAAATTTTTGCTAAGTGATATCCCAATTGCTCGGCGTCATCCATACCCTTTCTATCCCGCCCAATTTGGCCTTGAGCAAAGTCATATCCATATCTAAAATGTTTTGAGTTGGAAATCTTCTCCAATATAAGTCCCTTGAGATAAACTTTACTCTTGAAATCTTGCTGTAATATCAGAGCGCCAAATCGTGTGTAGATGGTTTCCTTAGGGCGGTCGAAATGAAGGCAGACTTTGAGCCACGCCATCACCTCGGCTTCGGAGATCAACTTCGATTTCTTGCTATATAATTTCCCCATTCTCGGGGAGACATCTTTCCATGGATTCGCAATCTAAACTGAGATGCTTCTAGGCCTTGCGAGCTTAGCTCTTTCTGAGGTGACTTTCTCTTGACTCTGCTCAAAAAGCACCACAGGGTTTTCTTTTCCTTCTTGCCCCAGCAAAAGATCCAGTGAAACCCTGATGCAGTAAACTTAGCTTGATAACCATGTCTTATAATCATCAATGCAGCAAGCTTGAAGCCTTTGCCATGAGTTCCGAGCATATCATCGTTCATATTTTTGCTTGTACAGCCCATGTCTAGAACTTTTCAAGGTAGATCACTACCATAATTACAAAGCTCCAACATTCCCTTATTTCTGTGAAATACCAAAAATCCAAGTATTTTCATCTTCTCTGGATTATAAACGGTGATTCAAAACTCATGGGTCAGGTTTTTGCGCACATAAACCAGCTCGAGAAAATTCGGAAGCTTTGATCATTGCATCCATCCTGTCATCATGACAATAATTAGTGCTCGTGATGAAATTAGGGCAGAATGAAGAGAGAAATATAAATGACAAACCAGTTTTGACAGAACGCCCGAAATGCATCCGCCTTTATCCAATGACTCACATATTTTAAAGATATACCTAAGCGTTGTTGACATGGTTTAAGTGTGGTATGGTAATCATTCTCATCTAGGGGACTGAGATCTTCCTCACCTGAATCCTCATAATCAGCCATATCCAAAGCAAAATTCTCGTAGTCTTGTTGATGGTACCTAAGATGCGGGCAAATATCTGTAGAATATCGATAAAATAATCTGTCCACAGGTCTGCCTTGGCTTATGCAATGTGACAAATTGCAAATATATATTTAAGAATAAGTGGTAGGAGAGAGAAAACAAAATACAATTGTTGAGAGTGAGGTGGACAAATTGAAGAGGGCTGTGTGTAGTAGGAATCGATAAGGACCAAGAAGATTGTAAGTCGACTACTTACTATTCGAAGTTACCAATAGGAAAGAGGGGGAGGAAGAAAGAATCTGTCTGCAGATGCACAAATTGCAAATGAAGCAATTCAATTCACTGAAAGCAATAATGGAAGTGAGAAGAAGTGTTTTCACTGTAAATAATCTCGGGTAGGATTACTTGGAGAGCGCGAGAACCACCAAACAGAGTCATCAACGGAATACATCGCCGGACATCTTGGCCGTGGAAACGTATCAAGAACTTCTTCGATGAAAAGCAAAAGCAAGTACTACTTTCTCATTATTGAAATTCATAAGAAAATTGATAAAAGAAGTGAAAAGAAACTGAGATTTTCAAGACGAGAGCTTTTTTCACTGGCTGACAAACCATACTTCCATTCTTTCCTAGTTCACCCCATCATGAGTGAAAGTTGCAGATGCAGCCATGATAAGATAAACACTTACCGATAACTAAACTTTAACATCGAGAGGTAATGATAGTCATAATGATAGGTTTGATCATAATTATATCTATTTTCAAACACAGCACATACAAAGTTTTTCTACTCTACAACTCTACAAAACCAACCAAGCTACGGCTCCCATGACCGAGAAACTTATCGCAGACTGTTCTAATACCATTCCAGTTGCTGCATTATTACTTGCTGAAGCGATAGCACTAGCACTCGTACTCGTAGAGCTTCCAGAGCTACTCGTAGTTGAATTTGAAGAATTCTGAGTAGCTGGTGCTGCCGCCTGACTGTGAAGCAGTCCCTGCACATAACTGAGAGCATCAATTTGCTCCCCGACCCCAGTAGAAACATTTTTGCCATTACCACTCCAATCGAAAGCGCATCCATTATCACCGCAAGTTCTAGCAGCTGCTTGGGCTGTGCCGATAAGTTGTGTATTGATGATGCTATTGGTGTATGGAGCGACTTGAATGGTATCGACGAGCCATTTCCCAAGTATACCTTTGTAGGCGCGTTGATCAATGTTGCAGGCGTTTTTGCTTTCGCAGGCAGTTTCGGTGGCGATTCCGGATGGGAAGAAAACGGAGATGGTTCTGTTTAAGAGACCGTCGAGGGACTTTTTCCATTGACTATCTCCATTGGTATGATTGTACATGTATGCAGCGCCAGCGATGAATGTACCTGCAGTCTCGGAGAATTGAGGTTTGTCAATCATCGAACAATTTTTAGTAACATCGGCACCGTCGAAAACATTGAAATTCTCGTCAATGAGGCCCGTCCCTTTAGTCCAATTCCATACTTTGGTTGCCCAGTCGGAATAAGTGGTATTGCCGGTGTAGGCAGCGAGTCGAGCCGAGAGTTGGAAAAAGTTTCCATTTGATATGCTATTCTTGTAGGTGTAACCGGCGTTGAAAGTAAATATTTGCCAGCGGAGGCCTCCATTACAGGTCTTTTCATCCCACCGAGCGACTTGTTCGTTAAATACATTTTCGGCAAGATTCAACCACGTAACATTCTGAACTTCTCCCAGTCGTGCCTCTGCCGCCGACATGGCTGCAAGAGCCCAAGTTGATTGATCATCATTAGCCAAAAATTTTGTCTGGTTTTCTGGCATAAAGCTGCTGCCAATTCCCTGTTGATAGACCAAACCTTGGGTCACAATTCTATTGTATTGGGAATCTCCCGTTAGTCGCCAATATTGAATCAAAGTGTCAAACATGGCTCCGCTTTCCCACCAGTAATATGGGGCATTCAAAACACCGATGGGATTCCCAGCAGTTTGAGACTGGTTGTACAGACCGACTAAGTCTCTTGCGATTGTGCTAGCTGCTGATTTGATCGAATCTGTATATCAGAATGGTATCAGCTTTGTTCAATGTAGATGCCTTTCGCTCATAACTCACCAACGCTAGTGACATTTAGATTAATGCACTGGATAGGAACTACGGAAACTGCCGCAAAGGCAACGAGTAACTTGCTTGAAACCATTTCTGATATGACGAAAGAAAAAAGCACAAATGTAAAGATATTTTATCGATATGATGCATCTACTACAGCAGCGACAGAGGAAGATATAAGAGGGATTTGGCCTCAAAGTAACAGGGGTAGCATGTTTGACGCACTTCGTACAATTCCATAGCAAAAGGTGAGATTTGGCAGCGCTAGAACACTTGATGAAATTAATTAATACGAGATCATAGCCCAATAAGCTTAAGCTTAAGGAGGATCCGCAGTTAGTCATCCTAAGCGAGTGCGAGTCTGCTAGTGGAATAAATGGGCCTAGCATAGCACAGTATGTAGGTACGCTTATTCAGCTTGAATTGCCGAGTAAGTTGTCTCTGTCCTAGCTCGAGCTCATTCTCGTATATGCTGTACTATGTCATCGGCAGAGAAATAAAGAAAGCTCTCCGAATGAAATTGAGCTGCTCATGATAGGATACATCTGAAGCATGGTAGCATGATATGAACTTGATATCGTGCTAATAATCAATGCTCACGTGATAACTGCATCATTTTTTTCCAAAGTAAGACGAACTCTGGAAAGGGAATAGGAGTCACTAGACTCCTCCTGAAATATGGCCGTATTAGCAAAGAAGATACTAAAAGCAATGACGGCGAAGATAAGACAGCTGCTTCCCCTACAAGGCTCTGTCAAGCTAGAAGCATATGATCTGATAATACCGCTCATTCTACACACTCAGAGACCAGGAAAGGCAACAGGCACTTGCAGGACTGTCAGTGCGTCGAAAGTCTAAGCCTTGCGAAGGATCATGTTGCGGAGATTTGAATGATTCTACCTCCTGATCATGAGCCTTGGGACTTTTCGTGCAGAAATAAGGGCAAGTGAAATATGAGGTCAAAAAAAATCAACGACGTTAGTGAACCAATGAATCCAGCTGACTAATTTTTTTGCCTAATAGCATTATCTATCCTGTCCTTATATCCGTACACATATAATAATAATAATAATTAGACCTCTTCTCTATAACTTCAACTCTTGCATTGAATCTTGATATAGGATTACCACAGAATCTTCTTCGCTCTTGGCAGTACCTACTCACTGTGGTTGATATTTGGAATGTCTATATATATATATATGTGTATGTATAGATAATCGATGATAAGGAAATATAAATCTAGCTTTTTTATTGAAGATATGCTTTTCAGTATGGAAGTTTTATACATTATCTATACATAATTCGATTGGATTGGGTTTGTGGCATTACAGATTCAATACTAGACTTTCCGCCGGGGTAGTAGGGGGTTATTATGCAAGATTCGGATATTATAGATAAATGAATCTCGTTTAGAATTCCAATTCTGAACTGATCATCTTACTATTATTCCGTATTACTCAAAAATTGTATCTCGAATACTCATATTGATGTAAATCAAACACTAAATTGATATAAATACTGATACTGATGACTTCATCGATAAACACCTAATCATCGGCTAGAATACTCAGATACTTCAGCTAATCCTATAAGAGCTTACAGAAAGTACATATGAATCCTAAATTCCATCTCTAGAATACAATACAATACAGTACGATACCATACAATATCCTGCCAAAAATAAAGGTAACATTCATCAAATCAATCCACTACTCAAAACCCAACTTCCAACACACCAAATCCTCCATCTAAAACGGCGACCTCTCAAATCCCTTTTCTACCTCCACATAAGCATCATACCCATACAACCACTTCTGCGCACCGCCAAAATCCTGCCATCGACTCGGAAACCCACCATTAACCGTCGGGCCCGCCAATAAAATCTCATCCCTCTTAACCTGTTCCTCTCCCTCCACCATATGAAAACTTTCTCTCTGTCCCCACGTTTCCCTCGCTATACCTTCTCCCCTCCCCTTTCTCAATTCCTCATATATCCTCGCCGCATTCCTCAATTGTTCATCTTTCATCTCTACATTAACTTTTCCCAATAGATATCCCATGACGGCTCCATCTTCCAGACTCGAATTAGCGCCTTGTGCGAGATAGGGAAGCATGGGATGACATGCATCGCCAGCCATCCAAAAGGTTCCTTTTTCGCTAGTCCAGCGTTCGAGAGGTTCGAGATGCATTAATCGCCATTTGGCTACTTCTTTGACTTGTTCTAAGAATGCTCTGAGGATGGGATCCCAGCCTTCGAATAATCCTTTCATTTCTTCCAAGTCGCCTGTTGAGCGTGAAAGTCCGGGTGGGAGATTATCGGGACAGAGTAGGACGATGTTGAATAGATCGCCTCCGCGCATGGTATACGATACCACGTGTGTATCCGGACCCGCCCAGAAGTTGACAGAGTGGGAATCGATGAATGCAGTGAGTTTTTCTGCATCCGGACCACTCAATGTGGATTTATCAATGACAATTCTGTATGCGAGGTCTCCGGTTGGATTTGGCGGACATGAATGGCCCAGAAATTGTGATCTAGTAGCCGAATAAATCCCATCTGTGCAAAGTATAATGTCTCCTTCTACTATTTTCCCTCCATCTAATGTTATAACTGTCTTTTCGAAATCAACACTCGTGACTCTCGATGATAGACGAATAACGACGCCTAACTCATTGCATTTAGCGCAAAGTGCACGCTGTAGATCTACTCGATGCATTCCCCAAAAAGGAGCTCCATATCTTTCATTAATTTTCTCTTGAAAATCCGAAGAATGTGCTAAGCGTTTTGTCCCATCAAATCGCCACACGGAGAGAGTTTTAGGAAATGTAGCTTTTGGTGCGAGATCATCGTATATTCCCCATTTTTTGAAGAGCCGTGATGCATTAGGTGTTATTTGTAGTCCTGCCTACAATATCTGTTAGCACAGTTCCACAGAGTAATATCCCAATATTTGGAATTTGTCACTTACCCCGACTTCCGCCAATTCCGAGACAGTTTCTAGAATCGTCACTTCATGTGATGGGTTTGCAAGTTTTGTAGAAAGTGCCGCTGCTAGACCGGCCAATCCTGCTCCAACTACTAAGACACGGAGAGGCATCTTGGTCTCTGTAGAATTCATTCCACTTGACAATGAGAAACTTTATAGTTTCGTATTCTTCGAGATAAATATTTATGCTTATGTTTGTGTGACGTTGGCCCTGCAATTGTTCAATTCTTGAGTGACGAGTTCTGAGAAAGATTTTACTTTATAGTACACAAATAGTCAGAAGCAAGAAAAGGAGTGAGACTGAGATAGAGAAAACAGAAACCAGAAGAGAATATTATATACATATACAAAAATGGTAATAAAAACAAGGGCTAGTACAATTACGACGGCATGGAAGAGCATGTGGTTATGTGGTTTGTGGTTATGTGGAGGGGAAAGTGGACGGCGCTCGAGCGGGATGAAGAGCCTAGATTGTGGGGATGCGGGGATTTTGCATCATACTCCGTACAGTCCCACTTGCTTGGCTAGGTTCTGACACCCGTCTCGGAACCTACACACGGCAAAATTAATACGGAGAAGGGAACTTGTAAGATTCGGCCTTCGCTCAGATGTATGAGATCCGAGAGCAAAGTGGCTGTTATTGGTTATTTTCCATTGACTATGCCGTAGAACTTACTTCAACTCCCACAAGACATGGCCAATATGGTCGATGCGTTATTTTCATTGGTATATACCTAGATCATCATGAAAAGATGATTGTCCCTTTTACACCAATTTTTGATAAAACCGCCAACGCCGGAGCTATGCTATGCAAAATATACCTATTCACTTCATCATCCCTCAGTACTTCAGGGGTCGCTTGTTCTCCTTCCGCTTCCCTTATCCTCTCCTCCGCTCCACTAAAAAATCTTTTCCCAATCAGGAGTAACGATAAACTTCCCCATAACTTTTCCCAATCCAGTGGCAACACCTTCTGGTGCCTCACCTTTAGGATCCTCAGCAAGAACAATTTGACTCAAGAAAGCAGCGGGAACGCCACGGCCTACTGCCATACTTGTGCCACCCCAGTCCAGTTCCACTTTGCCACTCTTCCTTACGACCAATTTCCCAATATATCCTTGTTCGCTAACTAATGCCTCATTTTCTTGCGCGACGTTTGGTTCGGTCTTGATGATGACTTCTTCAGATTCCTTCTTAATTCCTTTGTCTTTATCATCGGTAAGATCAATTTGCTCAGAGGATTGAGTCACAACAACATCTTCCGAATTCTCAACTTGAGGATTAAATAACCGAGGAAGAACAGGAGGAAATTGGAATAGATAGATTCGACCATCTGCATGATTAGCTTCTGGTTGAGATTCATCTTGTTCTTGTTCGCCGCCCATTCCAACATCTCCATCCACATCGACAGCCTTGCCTTTTCCTTTGTCCTTGGGTGATTCATCCACATTTCCTCTCAGTAGACGAAGTTCCTCAGCAAGTATGTCCACATCCTCAAGGTAACGTTCATATTCGAATTTATCCTCTTCGGTTTGTATGACTGGAACTTTGTCCTTCTTTCTGCTAGGTCGTAGTACTTTAGATTGTTGTGGAGATTCAAGCTCCTTTTTGAGACGCTTCTTCTCTTCAGGGGAAGATGGTGCTTTGAACTCGGGGAATTTTGACATGGTTGGAGATTCGAGACCAGGTTCGTCTTTTGCCCTTGGCTCCTCGGCGGTTGTCGCTCTATCCATAGTCATCTCAATATCTTCCCCAGATTTATCATCCTCTGCTTCGTCCGCTTGCTTCTTTGCTGCCTCTGCAAGATCTGGATCACTAACCATCATGTTGGAACGTTCCTTGTGTTCTTCGCGCTTGATTCGAATGGGTGCGAGGGACCGCGATTTGTAACCACCTTTGCCTCCTCTGCCAGATCCAACCATATCATCATCATCATCCTCTACTAAACTGATCATTTCAATGTTGACTTTCTTGACTTGTCCATCGCCTTCATCGGGATATTCGGGATCGAAGGTAGAGGAGTTTTCTGCAGAGAGCACATTTACCCCTCCATTTCCCGATCCAGAGCCTCCTCCACCACCACCACCACCCCCTCCCCCCCCTCCTCCTCCTCCTCCTCCAAATCCACCTCCACCACCCCCTCCTCCTCCCCCTCTTGTACTTCCAATGGCAAAGCCATCCATACCACCCTTTCTGTCTGTAGAATAGACATTAGCAAAATTAACAACTATTCAGTAACTGACTTACCCATTGCAGCCGGCGCAACACTGAAAATACCAGTAGCACTCGACATTGGAGCTCCTCTTCCCGCCCCACGATTTTGACCCATTGCATCACCTCTACCTCTTCCAGTGTGTCCTCGCCCTCGTTGAAATCTACGTGCTTCTTTTTCTGCTTGTGCTTGATTTGCCGCCTTTCGATCCCTTTCCTCTTGCTCTAATCTCTCTCTGTCTGCTTGATCTCTTCTAATATTCTTAGGCTTGAATCTAGCCCTTCCGGTTGATTCTCCTCGTGCCCTCATAGTTGCCCCACCACGTCCCCTTATGGTCGCACTCCCGGCTCTCGATGGAAGTCCCGCAGGGGTATTCGCAGGGTCTTGTGCAGGTGTTTCGGCAGGTATCGTAGCGAGTGAGGTATTTGGATCGAATGCGTCATCGCTGGGTTCGACTTTTGGAGTAATGGTGCCCGTAGACTGTGTCATTGGCGCCATCGGTGCAACTGGCGCAATTGGCGCGAGTGACTGACTAGATTGGGAAGATTCTTCGGGAACGGCTCTAAGTTCTGGTGTTTCAATTGCGTCGATAGCGACTCCTCTTCCCCTTCCTCGTCCTCTGCCTCGAGGTCTACCCCGCGAGGTAGCTCCTCTCTCTGCTTTTGGTGGCATCCTTTATCGCTTTGATGATCTGAGTGAAAAATGTTGAAAAGAATGGTGTCACCGCATTGAATGTGATAGATGTATGAGGAAATATATTTGAAATTAATAAAGTAGATTTGAAGAGAAATGAGACCAAATTTTATGATTTGCGACAAATATTTTGAAAGAGCTTCAAAAGTTCAAATGTTGGTGGGGCCTGATATTTTTTTAGTGCAATGACATGACGCACGGACTATCCCTGCATAATTTAAGCTTAGTCAGGAACCCATCGATATTTCATTTAACGTGTTTCATCACCCCGTGCACCATATCACCTCGTGCACCACTTTCACCTCAATTCCTATTTATAATCATATATAATTCAACAATTACTTGATCAATTGATTTAAACTAAGCACTATCTAATAATTTAGGATCTATATTATCATTAGAACATGTTCTTGCATTATGACCTGTTATTCCACATTTACTACAGCATCGATTAGTCGATGCCTCTCTATTAGAATTCCGCCCATTTTGTTGCCTATCGCGTTTAATCTGAACATCCACCTCTTTTTGTGATATAATATCATTAGCCTCTTGAATAGTGAGAGCTCCTCCTAAACGTAATTGAGTCTTTTTAGCACGTCGACGTTTACTTAATCCCGTATTTGCCAATCGAAGATCGTGATTCTCAAAAGCTAAAATCGTGACAGTACTAGCTAGGTATTCTACACCCTTAATTAAAGGATCTGTAGCCTTAAATATAGGTGTAGGAGAGCTAGAATGATGCCGAGCAATAATAGATCGTACTAAAAATGCTTGTGAAAGAGCTTCGGTGGCATTGTGAGGTGTTTGTGAGACCCAATCGGGCATATGACTCGGAGGAAGCGAAGGAGGAGTAGGTGTACGGATTCGAATATCCATTCTAGAGAGTACAGCATCGGGATTAAAAGGGACTAATCCTGCTCCTCTAAAGCCTGCTTTCATATTCTCCATTGTAATTGCTTGTTCGTATACAGCATTGAATGCTATAAAGAATTCGACTTTGGAGATATGATTGATATGCATCCGTATATACCCCTCAATTTGCTTGCTATATGCGCGTTTTAGCACACTAAAACAACTAACATCAAGAGGTTGGGTGAGATGACTCGAATGAGGTGGTAATCCGACGGCTTTAATCTTATGTTCTATACAATAGTTCTGAAAAGGGCCTGATTCATGGCTTTCATGTCCATCTAAGACTAGCATTCGATATGCACCCTTCGTTCGGAGTTTCGTATGCTTATCAAAATGCTTTAGCCATTCTAAACCCGTCTCATTATTCGTCCATCCATTTATAGTAGTTTTAACCACCCATTCGGGAGGCATATCCGTCTCGCTGTACCAATTGGCTAGGTGCATTTGTCCTTGAACAAGGAGATATGGAGGTATGTTCTCCCCCGTCGCATTACCACATACAATCGCTGTCGACCATTCTCTATTGCCTGGCTGTATTCCTTTACTTTTGCCACATCTATCTGCACTAGTAATAACCATACTAGAGGATATCACTCCCATCATAAAGCCTGTTTCATCAAAATTCCATATATCGCACTCCTGTATTCCATATTTTGCCTTTATATTTTTGAATAGTTGAAACCACTTATTAATAAGCTTAGGATCCTCGCAGAGAGCTCTTTGGAAGTCGTAGGCACGATTAAAACGCGTTTTTAGAATATTGTGTCGATTCACAAATCGATATGCCCATTGTTTACCAACACGCTTTCCACCCCTCGATTCAAGAATGTGATTCGCCATACTTTCAACACTTATGAATTTAGGACTAAATCCTCGCTCATCCATATCGATTATATGCTGAATAATAACCTCCTCTTCAATTTTAGTAATTTTATGCTGTTTTTGACGATATTCGGAGGCAGGAGTGATCCCTTTCATTCTACGTATGAGTGTCGTATGAGTAATATTGTAAATCTTGGCAGCTTTCCGGAGGCTTAAATTTTTATCTTTAGCCATTGCCTCCATCGCCATAACGATATCGCGTTCATTTAATGTCGATACCATAATTATTTATTGATAAATCGCGTATTGAAGTGATTGATGTGAATTGAGGTGAAAGTGGTGCACGGGGTGATGAAACACGTTATTAGATTCTCCTTTCTCTGCATTTCATCATCCTCACAGACTTTTCTTCACCACCTCAACCATCTCAATATATCATCACCAATATCACTTGAGTTGCTCCTCAATATCTCACTGAACATATATTAATGTTCTTAAAAGCGTGATACTTATAAAGATTCACTAGGATTACATTTGGAGACTGGTTTATATATGGCAGCAACCGCGTTGTAAGATCTTAGAAAACAGGTATCGTGCTTTAAAGGTGCGCGTCGACATAAGGGGCAAGTTTCATGTCTTCAATGGTCTACACTATACGCCCATGGAGAGAACGGAACATTACTCAAATGAATTCATGATCGAGAAGTCAATGGAAAATGGAATGACGTTTTCAAACTACCCATTCGTACCTTGAATGGGATCGAGTGGATTATTCCCCTCGCATGGTCACTGAATGCATCAAACCGATGAGTATTTCCTAGATTCAAGTGGTTCAATGCAAGCCTAGCCAAGCCATCAATTCTGTATTACTAAGAGCTTCAGCTTCTCAAACCAGATGGATTCTTAGTTTTCAGCTAGAACCTTTATGATCGCCGGCTTCCCTAACTGATACTAGACAAGTGATTCCGTGTGGACGATTGTGATCGCCCACTTCAAATGAAAATATCATGTCAAGAAAATTTGTTTCGAAAATGTCATTCCTTGATGTTCAAATCGAATGTCATTCTTCAATCCTCGCGTACGAAATTCTAACCGAGCCCCTTCTTTTTCACATCTCTGAATTTTATCTCGATTATATATTAGCTCTTTCCCTCTAATTCATAAGTCTTCTCTTCAATAAACGTGTTCTTGGGATACATTGCATTCATTTCCTTCAAGTATGAGAGCGTCTACTATCATTCAAGCCCCAATAGCTTCGGCTTTCCACGCACCACTTTCCATGGCGGTAGTAGTTACGACTTTTGTTTTATCCAATACCCTTCCAGGTTGAGGATGCACTGCGGTAACTCCAGAGTATCAACTATAATATTATGAGATGTTTACTCTAGATGCATGTGTGTGTCGGGTTCTTAGGGTGTGGCCGGGGATCGAAGTCAATATTTGGTGAGGCTTTTGAGTAGGGAGGCGAGATGAAACTTACTATTGTGATGGGATATTGAAATTTCTGAGACATCGTTTTCGAGATATAGATAGTTTGGTGCCTTTTGTCATCTTATAAATCCATGCGAGATTCGCCACATAATTACTTTAGGAGTACTATCAGACCCAAAGTAATAAAGGTGATGAATTGTAAGTACCCCTGACATCTGAGTAAACAGGTTGAATATTTACGGAGAATGGAAAACTGAGATTGCCCAATCATTGGAAATATTTCGAGCAGTGAAAAGTTTGGAATTTATCCACTGTATAGATCCCTATCTCAATATCACGTCATCTGACATCTCAACTCAGCGACTCGAAAGTATTCAGCTCTTCAAAGATTGTCAATGCCAAAGAAAAGATTTGTCAGTCGAATTTCCCCGGGCCGCTGAGATGTAAGATTAATATATCATTCTTTTTTTCTACACTTAAGTATCCAAACGATATAGAGCCCTCAAACAACAACTAATTAGTACAAACTCAATTTCATTAAATCCTCTCTCTTTATAATCATTCCAAAATTCGAATCTATACATTGAATCAAAAGACCAAATCCTATCCTATCTTATTCAAGATCCAAATGTCAAGAATCACGGTTTAGATTATGGTAGTATTATGAGTGTCGGTGATTTAGCTGCCGATTACAGGGGGAATGTGATCTAACCGCGGTTTACGGGGGGTTTCTTATCAGCTTCGATAAGGAACCTAGGAATCCTAGGACAAGTGTCCTAGGATAAAGTGTCCTAGGATAAATGTCCTAGGACAAACGTTTAGGCAACCACAATGGTACATGACAAGTATTCTGGGAGTTCAGAGTGATCTAGGATAGGATGCGTCCTAGGATAAAATATCTTAGGATGATAATTGTCCCAGGACAATTATCCTAGGAGTTAGAATATCCTAGGAGACGAATCGTCCCAGGATTAGTGTCCTGAGGCAACTAGAAATCACGTGATATGCTAGCTCTGCTAGCCAGCTAGCATTCGGGAAACGTTTAGTATATAGTCAGAATAGTTTCATAGTATAGGAGCCTCGTGCTCAACTTAGTTATCAATTAGTTTACCTACATTCTACTTGATCTAGTAACGAATTCACTTCCAAGTGAATACCAGTGATAAAGCCTTAACCCAATAACTACCAACCCGACGAAACCTTAGGCAGCCGCTGCCTCCAGTACAGTGTGACGCCTCACACCTCCGGGTCACGTGGCATGCCCCGTTTGTATTTAATCATAGGAAAACTCTCTACTCTTGTTTTCCTTCTTCTTTTCTCCTTAGCTTAGTATTTTCTAATACAAGATACTTTACCCAGTATTCTTGAGTGTGACACTAAAACTATAAAACACACATCTCTGTGTTACGAAGTAACAGCTGATCTGTCCATACGAGCTTGGACCATTTGGAAAAGCAAGCAGATTCACATACAAAACTGTATGGCAATTGACTTATATGGTCTCCTCACCCTAAGCAAGTACAGACATCGAATCTGATCGAAAACACGTGATCAAGGATTCCCACCGAGCTGAGGAATTCCACCATGGTGGGAATTATTCCCACTTTGATGGGACGATAGAGGGCAGTGGGATGCATAGTACGAAGGTCTATATAACTGGAAAGAGTTTCCTTATTGTAGAGCTTCGTGATCAAGATCAATCATTTAGTATACTCTACTATTAGTTACGAATTGCATATTATTATTGTCATTACTTAAGTCCCTGCTTGACGCCTAGTTATAAACCACCTCGAGAGTCTAGAGCACTTCCACGTGATCTAGACGGCAAACCTCGTAACATTTATGAATCTAGAAAATTTAAAGAATTCATCAATTTTCAAGTAAAATGTAACAAATCCAAATCCGGGATAATAATGTAATATTTAAGAATAATTATATTGAATATAAATAAATAATAATTAATAGATATCAACGAAAGTATGTTACGAGTTTTGCCGTCTAGATCACGTGGAAGTGCTCTAGGCTCTCGAGGTGGTTTATAACTAGGCGTCAAGCAGGGACTCAAGTAATGACAATAATAATATACAATTCGTAACTAATAGTAGAGTATACTAAATGATTGATCTTGATCACGAAGCTCTACAATAAGGGAAATCCTTCTCAGTTATATAGACCTTCGTGTTCTAGCTGATCAGTAGGATCAGTATGGCTCAGTACTGAGCTTGCTGATCCTCACTGAGTCAGTCACATGATATTGGTAACACGTGAGCGTCTTCTTGTTACCCGGCGTAACAAAATACTAGCTAGATATCTTCCATGTCGGCCTGAGATGCGCTATTATTGGAATCCAATAGATCTTGCAATTGATCTTTTACATGTTGAATAAATTCATACTCATAACGGTAGTCCACTACATGTCTTGGAAAGATATTCCAAAGTTCCAAATATTCATTATGTTCATAATCGACAATGAACTTCGGCCGATCACAAATATCTAGATAGCCTACGATCCAGGGGACATCCGGAGCTGAGGTCAGTTCTATACTGTCTGCCTCACTCCCCCCTGGACTGTCTCGATTGAAGAACGCAAAGCTGACATAGGATGCATTTTCGACAGCAAAAGTAAGGATTCCGTTGCTTCTTGCATTTTTGCCTCTTATAACAATCGTGACATGAAACTGTATGAGCAAGCTGATAGTGCGTGGAATTTGCCCCTTTGACAGTGACGGTAGGAGAATGTCGTAAGAAAGATTGTCGTGAGGGTAATTGGGCAAAAATTTATACCAGCTGACTTCTTTCGAGTCACGACATAAGAGATGATTCAGGAAACGAGAGCATCTCCTGCATATATTCGATTTTGTAGAACGGCTTTTGAAAAGCGCCTATTATGGAATTAGTCATCAAATCGAAGCGAATGCTTGTGTAGGAGGTGACATACGGAGGCGAAGAACTCCGCATCGAAATCAATATCGATAGGAGAGCCGTTGTCCACCCGCTTAATAAACGAACTGAGGGTTTCAGTCGTGAAACCGAGCGGTATTTGGCGCTTTTTTCTAGAGTCCACTGTTTGCAGAGGAGTAGCTGTCGAATCTTCCATGTCGATATCCCCTCCTGTATGATGCATCATACCTTCATCCACCATTGTAGGTGCAGGGGTATCGCAGGCGATATAGCCAGGAGTTTCTGCACCAATCAGTATTCAATAGTAATTAAATTAGGACTTCGAGATTTTCATACCAATATCAAACCCAAGGATTGACTCCTCAGTCATTTTCTTTCTCTGTGCGAAGCGTTCAATCTTCTGAGGCTCGACATCGCGGCCACTAATCTTGAACTCGCTTTTCTTTCCTTCATGCTTTCTCTTTAGATCTTTTCGTAAGATAATCCTCATGTCACTTTCCTTGATGTTTTTGTCCAGTTTCCATTGCTCAATTCGTCGCTTGTATTGCCGTGGCCTGTAATTGGCAATTGATTAGAAGTTGTGATGTAAGATACTGTTGCCAATTCAGGAACACTCACGTTGCACGGAATCCATGTTCATTCTCCATTATTTCCATTACTTCCTTTAGAGTTTTGTCTTCTGCGGTATAAAGTCGAGTGAAAGTTGCTCTTTGACGCTCCCAATCTTCCGCAGAGTGCTCAGTGAGGGCAGGCCTACGGGCGGGCTTCGGTAGTGATGGCATAGAGTCGACTATAGGCGGCATCTGGTGAGCAACATTGGATGGAGCTGCGATAGGAGATGTATGGTTTGCTGTTGAATGATTCATAGTTTGATCAATCCCGGGGAGCAGTAATGAAGATTGAGACACGGGAGGTAGTGGTGTTCGGAGATTGTCAGGTGCCGATATTGTTCGTCTAACATCGCGACTGAAATTATCTACTAGATTGAGCTCCCCTCTGTATGTTGGTATAAATTCTTGCTGAGATGTAAGATTATCATCGAAGAAGCTGGGAAAACCGAAAAGAGGATCTTGAAATTCGTCGGCATTCATCTTGATGATTCCTCCCGAGTTCAAATAAACCAAGATACTCCGAGTAAGAAAATAAAGACTCCACGCAAAAGCTTAAGAATGATTGCAGTAATGAAAATAAAAGAAGACATTTTCAAAACGTCGAAGAAGACAAAGGCTTTATACATTCCGACTCAAAGCTTTCAGGAACCTCAGCCTTGCCGACATCTCAACGTAATGCTGCGGTCCTTTTGCGTTCAATCCACTAAAATCCCGGTACTGACGGTAACCTTTTGATGCTACAGGAGTCTGATGTGCATGGGACTTTTGCATTTGCGCTGTGGCTTGCAAGGAACATCGAATGCTCAAGCGTTGTGACCAGTAGAAAACACTTGTTTATCTCATCCTCATCCAATAATTGTACAAACCCATGCACACCCAAACCGAAAAGAAACACATCCTTCCAATGAAGGAACTAAAGATCATCCATCGAACCGAAAGAGCGAATGAAGCCATGGTGAGGCTCAATGAAACCAACTTTTCATCGCCCGAAGAATTTGCTCTTCTCTAACCTTAATACCTTTCTCAATCTTACCTAACATGGAATTCGGAAATCGGTAACTTGCTTGGTAGGTAGCTTGCGAAAACATACCTACCAACCGCCGGTACCTAGAGTCCAGATGCCACCAATATAATTTAATCCAATTCAACAGCTAACCAGTTGCAACCACAACTCATAAAAGCACCGATCGATTTAGAAGAACTTAATTCCAACTTCCGAATACATTCTCCCCAGCTATCGAATAATAATCCATGAAAGATGAAAAAACGATGTGATGCGATGCGATGCGATGAACAACAATTGACGATGGTAAGCAACCGAGTGAATTGAGTGATCAAAAAAAGACCAGCAAGCAGAGTACGAGATCTAAGAAAACCTAAAAAAAGAACAACACTCACGTGACACAAAGATATCAACAACCTCACCTCACCAAACATCAGTATAATCGATGGGTGTTGGTTACCGTATAAACTCAAGTTAATTATAATCTTACATTTAAGTCTATCTAAACCCTATTGGAAAGACTTATCTCATCCCCTCTGATCCCCTCTCATCTCAACTCACATCTCACCTATCCCAAATATACACATCCTATCTCCAACTACATAATCCAAAGAAGTACATGTATACTCAAGTACCTATATATAAACCATTTATAACCTAATATTTATATATGTATTTATCTACCTATTTATCTATCTAGCCATCCATCCACCATATCTATCTAGAAAAGGCCCCAAAAATCTAATAGATCTAAAGTATCTAAATGTACATTCATCCACTCCTACCCTCTACCCTATCTCTCCATTCCCATTCCCATCCCATTCACCTCTCATTCTTCATCCTCCATTCATCATTCCTCATCCTCTCACAACGATAATCCACCAACTATCCATCCATTGAATCTATCGATTCCAACCCATGATATCTATTCATCTCATTCTAAACCTAAGCGCAGGTTCCCAGACAGACACCATCCAATTAATCCAATTCTAGCCCATGAATTTTTTCTCTTTCTTTCTTCCTTTATTTCTTGCTCTCATTCCTTCGTTGACACTTCTCATCCCCGAACTTCACAAACTTCTATCCTCTCTAAGAACTAACACCTCCATTTCCACCCATCGCCCTAGGTAATCCCATCCACTTTTCCTTACCAGGAATCTTAACTCTCCCAAACTCCTCGTCCAAATCCAAAATAATCTTCAACGCATTTCTACTCCTCAAATAATTAAGTGGTCCCTCTTGACCTGGTAATGCACCAGCGACCGCTACACCCACATGAGTTCTCTCATCCTTTGCTTTACCAGGCATTGGAAGAATGTTTTGAAGAACTTCATATGCCGCGAGTGTGAAACCGAATTGAGGTGATGATCTGAGAATACGAGCTGGTCCACCCTTGAAGAATGCCTTGAAACCTTCTTCTTTCCAGATAGTCTTCGCGGCATGGCGTAGGGATGTGTATTGTGATTCACCCTTTCTGGCTTCAACTTGTAATCTGGTTTTGATGACATCACAAGGAGTAGTCAAATAAGCGGCAGGCATACCGGCAATGGCACCTGCAGTTAACAAATGCAAGACACCAAGTTTCTTGGTTTGACTTTCACCGAAGAAATCGCGCTTTAAATGATTGTATGTAGGGAAGTAAATGGCCGAGAAAGGAACATCACGGAGAAGACAAGCAGATGCACCCTTGTAAAGACCGACAAGACCTAGATTACGGACGATCCACATTGCTGAACGGCGAGGAGTGCCTTCAAGACTTTTGGCGACTTCACCTTGAACTTGTAGACGAATTTTAACAATTTCAAGAGGGTTGGTGAAGACCTATGTGGGAATTTAGTATGTTTTGGAAAATGGGGTCGGGATAGATGTTAACTTACGACTTGACATCCACCAGCCATACCACCAGCAATAATTTCATGCTTAAGAAGAATGCTACCATCCTTAGAGGAGAAGTGACCACGAACAAGATCATTGACTGTCAACTTGATAGCCTTTTCCGGAGCAACGCCGACAAGTTGAGGTAAGACACCAGAATATAAACCCTTGAATCCCTCATTGCGCACAACCTTCTTGGCACAATCCCAGGAATTCTTGTATAACATTTCTCCGACTCTTGAAGATCTTTGATTTTGCATACGAGTCTTGACGAGATCAATAGGGTATACCATGAATGCTCCAAAGGCTCCTGCCAAACTTCCCAATGCAAAATGATGAACAGATTCCAGAACGCTAAGGAGAATGCTTCCAGTGGCCGTTTTTACACCATTGCCACTACCAATCTTTTCGTAGGCATTGAATGTGGGATTGCGCCATGATGCATCGAGGACCTTTGCAAAATCAGATAATCCGAGCCTTCCAGAAGGATTATCAAGACTGGCAAAATGGAATAAGATATCAGCTTCCATAGGAGTGAAGAGTGAAAATCTAGTAATTCTGGCAGCTTCGTTCAAGAAATCTGTCCTGGTAATCTTTCCATCAGTGCTTTCTGCAGTTGCTTGTCTGATGACCATCTCCACCAAATCCATCTCTCTAATCATATTCTGGAAAGCTCTAACATTTGCGTATGAGATCTTGCTACCAGTCGAGATATTGCAAAGAGTGTGTAGATTTTCGAGAAGGTGATCCGAGAGCTTATGTTTCGCAGTCTCGAGGATGATTCGTTGAAAATCTTCTGGCTCAATATATCCATCTCCATCTTTATCAAAGTGGTGGAAAGCTTGACGTATCCTCTCTCCTTGCAGACCTCGAAGCATCTGCGAGAATTGTGGATAAGTCAAGTCATGTCTTCTCTTCTTTCCTCCACTGTATAAAGTAGCCCATTCGCAATTCCAATCGAATGGTATGGTATTTGGTCCCTTGTTCAATTCATATAACTTCTTCAAATCCTCGTATTTGACAGTGCCGGTTCGATCGACATCGAAGAGACGGAATGCGATCTCATATTCGGCGTCAGGTTTGGCAAGAAGATTTTCGAATGTTCCCCAGTCATGTAAACTGACTTTACCAGTATTTCTGTGATCAGCTACACGGAACAGGATCGCATATTGTTCTCGTTTGATTTTATGCTAAAAGAAGATCAATTCCGTTAGCCATGACTCTTCGAAAGGAGGAAAGGCACAAAAGTGTAAATTCACTCACATAGTCTTCACCGGCCGGCGCAATGGCATTTACAAAGTCTTCCTCATTCATATAAGCCTCACCCCCAGACTCATCCTTCCGCGAATGCTTTTCAAAGGTAGCTGTCGATTGAGCAGAAAGTTGAACATCCTCTGCAACCGTTGAGCCCAACAAAGACTCCTTCACCACCTCCTTCGCCGTTATGAGATCTGTCCCTGCCATCTTTGACGCTTCGAATCTGCCACTCTCCGCGGGTTATAAAAAGGGTTTAAATTCGGTCCAATGGATACTGTTTACTTCGGGTGAGTCGTTTGAATGAATGACCGACTTTCGGAGCAAGGTCTGCGCGAAATTGTGGAGTTTCTTAAGTTTCCACACCCAAATAGGAATTGAAATGCCGCCTTGTCAGACTTGAAATAATTTTTTTTTGGCGGGTGTGGTGAGCATGCAGATGCAAATAATTCAAGTATGGGCGAGTAAGCAGAGTAAGCATACACTGGACAGACAAGCAAAACTCCGATCAAGTCAATTTCAATGGCAACTCTCAATTGACTTTGGAGGAGAAGCACAACAACCAGGAAGGCAATGGTAACTATTATAGGATCCGCACAATTTGGACGACTTCAAATACGGAGGGAAATTAAACACTGGGGAAGATGGGGTGGAAAGATGAAAATGATCAGGGAAGTACCGGTATGACTTGAGAGAAATAAAAAAAAAAAGATCTATCTACTGCAATGAGAGAAATTATCGGAACGGGGCAACACATAAATCAGCTTGGCAGAGAAGACAACGGAAGAAAATTGATACGTGCGCATGTACATTATGTATGTTAGAGTAGTTTATATCCATAAGGAACCACAAAATAAAGCACAGAATACAACCTCACTATAAGAGAATTTCAGCTATTCTCAAAGAATTATTAGAGCACGACTCGAGACTCGAGAGTCGAGAGTCGAGAGGCCATTTCTGCAGTGTGCTTCTTTATCATTGACAACAACATCCAGATTAGCTTTCTTGACTTGGAAAATTGTGGTGAGCATGTGATTGATTGTAGATAGGTGAGTTACATTAATCCTTTCTCTTGCCATGGGGGATTTCTTTGTAAGATTATCTGTGTCTTTGTGTCTAATCAATCTATCATTGTTGTAAGATCTTACTGTTATAATCTATCACCACAATCGATTTCTTATCCATACATCCACACTAGGTATATACACATATCCATCTATCCATCCATTCATCCACCCATCCCGCTATTCCGCCATTCATCAGTAATCAATCCCCATCCTATCACATCATATCCCTCACCATATCACAAATATCCATCCATCCATCCATTCATCCATCCATCTCCGCACCAACCCTAAACCCTTAATCCCTATTAAACCCTCAAAACCCTCACAACCCTCAAAAACCCCCATCCTCACAATCAAGTTGAATCAACAATCAATTCCCTATCAATCCCCATCCATCCACCCAACAATCCACCCAACAATCCACTCATCCGTCCCCCAGTCTATCTATCCATCTATCCATCTATCCATAATCCATCCCACTCAAGCACCCATCAAGCACAGCACAGACAAAAGTCACAAAACAAACCCACAGACCAAAAACAACCACCCATCACCCATCACCATCACTACTCACCAATCCCCAATCACCCATCTGCCCCCGGGACCCGACCCGACTCCAATTCAAACCCCACTCCAACGGTGCAGAACAGAACCCTGGGCCGGGCATCAGAAGCGAGCTATCCTGAAATTTCCCCTTTCCCGGATAATTCACGGGCATATATCACTCGTAGTATTGTAAGATTACTCGCTCACGTGCCACACATATTGCATTGATTAATTTCCTTGGGCTTACGTCTTGGTATGTACGGAATATGTGCGTGAACGGTGTTTACATTGGTATTGGTATTGGCATTTGTAGTGATGGTGATGGTCATTATATTGGCATTTTTGCTGATGATAATGGATAATGGTCATGGTCATGGTCATAGGATAGGCTCAAGATGATTCTTCTCTACCTCACATCTAGCCTAGCATTTCATACCTTATACCTTCGTTCTCTCACAATCCAATTCATTCCCATTAATATTTAATTATCTTAATTTTATTTCTTAATATGAAGTATTTTATCATATGCTAATACTCCACTCCTGGTATCTTGAATACAATCCATTCCAACCCCTCCTTAGAGGGGTAGAAGAACTCCGACGTTGAACAATTGCAATAAGGAAAAAGGAAAATACGGAATTGTCCCTGCCATTAAACTCCCCATATTGATGTAAGATGTTAAGCAGTACATATCCGACCAAAGGACATGTTACTACCCATTTTGTTTAATTATCCTTCGCACCCTTAATCCATCGTCGATTATGCACCAGGTAAAAAAGAAATAACTCAAAAAGTCATAGCATCATCAGATCATGAAAGTCGTGATGCTGCAATGCTATCAGCCTTGATTCCAGAAGAGGGTATAAAAGCCATATCATTGAGCAAAACCCTCTCCCTCACTGAAACGCCAGGAAGGAGAAGAACAAAAGTGGTAAAATAAAAGCCAACCAACATGTGCAGTGCAAAGTGATGACGGCAACCAATTGATTTTGTATGCAACGCCGCCAACGCCATTGTGGAGCAATATGGTCTATTGAAGGGGTATTGAAAGGGTATGGTAAAAGTGGATCCAGATGTTGGTTTAAATCGAAATGCCCAAGGAATGGTAGTCGATTCAAGATCGTATCTGGTCCAATAAAATACAAAGAATTGAATGTTTTGTGATGTAGTGTTGTAGTGTTTTAAAAGAATTATTGCAAGTAGGATTCTTAGCTTCTTGCTTGAATCATTCGCTGTGAGTTCTCCTCGATGGACAACAATGGGTCAAAGGCAACGGTTTGGTATTGAGATTCGAGGCGTAGAGGAGCTGGGATGGATTGTTGACGGCGAACGATGCCTGGAATTTGAAAGCCCTTGATCATCTGGTCCTCGACGTATGTGGAAGCTCTTTTGTAACGGCGGTCGGAATATTTCTCAAAGACAGCAGCATGATGCTTCCGAGCGTTCTCGCAACACTCCATGACCAAAGATACCAATGGCTTCAACTGGTTCCAAGTATAACCAGAATAGTAAACATGAGCCGGAGACCAATCTCCTTTGCCGAGCATAAATCTAGCAACGGCGTGAGATGCGGCAGCAACGAAACTTGGTGGGCTACCAACGAATCGTTCATCCATGATGGTGACCTCCAAGAAGTACTTTGCTAATGTTCGTGTCTCAAGATCATAATCATCAGCCTTGCTAATGCGGCGCAAGAAACTCATTGGACCAGGCCACCCCAACTCGAATTGAAGCATGCTGAGCATGAATCGTTCTGCCTTGAGAATCTCTTCACTGCTGTAACCACCGTCGACCATATAGACGATTTCACCAATCGAAGGGCAGTTGATTTCTTCATACTTAGCAGCAACGAAAATGGCAGTAGCACCAACCAATTGAAGCTTGCCAAGAGAAACAACCTTCTTCGAAAGGAATCGATCGATGTAGTTGACGCAGAGGAAGAGAGTTTCGGGAAGAAGGGAGAATCTCTGGTGAACTTGGATCAACCAATCCATCAGAACAGAGCGCATTGACCATTGGATCTCTGCTTGTGTGTCCATGTAATGTGGGTCAGGTAGAAGCTTGTTCTGTGATTGAAGGTGTGTCAGCAAAGCATACATTAAAAATAAACAAGGCAGATGATTGCGTAGCAAACAATTGCGGCGAACATTGTTGCTGCTGTAATCTGAATATAAGACATGCCAACGCCGTGTTGGCCAATGCATAACAAATAAACAGTAATATGACTAACCTCAAGTTCGCGCATGTATGAGAAAATCTCTTCACCATACTCAGCCACCATGCTAGTGTCCCACATCTCATCTTCAATATCTTCCTGGGTTCGAACAGACTCTACAAGAATTCTGGCATCCTCAAGCTCCTTCTTAACCTTGTTTGTGACCTTTGGAACGATAACAGTGGTTGCTCCTCCAGTAGTATTCTCTCCTCGGAATGAGTGGGCAGTTGTATAGCCTTGTTCATCATAAGCTTCTTCTTCATCCTCCGGCCAGTATTCTTCAGGTTCGAGGGCAAGTGGTAGAGCTGGCAATTGCTTTTGTGACTTCAACTTCTCGACGACAGCAGACTCTTCCTTTTCTTTAATAGATCGGAGATGGGACTCGTTGACGTTTTCCTTCAAAGGATGCTCAGGTGCATTGTGATAGATTGCAGGTTCATCATTGTCGACAACATTGTTCAATTGCTTGCTCTGTGTTCGTCGTAAAACTGGTTGCTCAGCCTTGATCTCAGGTTGACTCTTGGCGTGTCTAGGGCCGAGGGTTTGTTGGACTGAGCTAGTCGACGCGATGGGCTTTTGGGCGAGTGGCTGGATGTTTTCAATTCCTGTGTCCTTGTATACCGCACCCTTCTTGGCCAAAGTGTTGCGCTTGGTTTGATTTGTGTGAGATTGTTTTGGAAGTGGAGCGATAGAAACTTGTTCAGAGGTAGATGTAGCTAATGGTGCTCTGGGGCCACTGTTAAGTGGTCGTTGTGCTGGTTTTAAAAGTGCAGCTGATTTATCCTGAATAGCAATAGGCTTAATGACTTCGAGTGACTTGCCCTTAATACCAGACTCGTCATGAATATTATTCAAAGTCTTTGCGGTATTGCTAACATCTCCGAATGCAGTTCTCTTGGCAGCAGCCTTGAGCCCTCCGACTGCTAACATACTGGCTAAGGTTCCTGTGGACTTGTGTTTTTGATGTAGAGTTGATTGTTGTTTGGTGATTAAAGGTGCGATATTCTCATCACCATCGGTATTGGTATGAGTAAATCGTAAAGGTCTTTGGGGCTATTAAAACATTTAATGTCAGTTTGCTTTGTCTGCAATTGAATAGAATCTATGAAACTTGGAAATGAAGTTGACAAGGTGATGAATTGGAATGTAGATCGAATTATGAGGAGATTGTTAAGAGAAGATTGAATCAAATTGGGGAATTGTTTTGAAAATTTTGAGATTAGGAGAAGGAAGGAGCGAAGCACCACAACATCAACAAGGAGGTAAGAACTTACTCGAGCGTCCATGATGGATTAAAGCTATTGTTTCCTCAAGGGATACAATAGCAAAAGCCGAAGCTGTTGGGCGATTTGCTTATTTGTTTTTGTTTTTGTTTTTGTTTTTTCTTTCTATTGAAGGTGCAGGAGATCAAAAAAGGGCGAAGAAGCTATCGCGACCAAGATGTCATAGAAGGAATGTTGTCGTGAGAAAGGGATTGCGTCAACTGGGGCAATGATTCAATAATTATTGGAGATATGCCAATCTTGCTTCGATATGCAATGTATGAAATCGAATAGTTCAAAAGAGACCCTGCAGATTTATGATGACTCAAGCATGAAGATGGATACAATATGGGGTAGAAGAAAAGAAGGTGAGGTACTAGGTAGAATTTGTGGAGAGCGAAGATGAAGTTGTTGATGTTTTGGTTTTGGTCTCGACCAAAAGTTCTTGTATGGTAGGTTTGAATGCAAATTGATATTGTTGTGTCTGGTTGGCGGGGACCAGATGATTTTTCAATTTGATTGGCAGAGGGAGCATAACAATAACATGGCCCTTGCTTTATTTTCTTAGTTCTATTTACACTTTTCCACTTTCCGCCTAGCGTGAGATCTTGCTTTGGTAAGACAAACCATTCGCGTTTTTCCTACACGTCTTCCAGCGACACGAGAAAATACCAATTTCTTATATGAATCCCAACATATCACGGAATTCTAGCAAACACATGATAAAATACGGTACAGTCAATCATGGAGAAGGTCAACATTCAATTATCAATATTCCCTTTCATTCCTTCCCATTATTGTCAACATGTATAGAAATATCATCATGGTGTCTGAGAGATGTTCCCCTTATCGGGTCAAATACGCCAAATCACGTGGAGATAAACACCCTCTTAAATCGAATTTGTTAATCAACATCAGCCTTCAAGACCCCTCGAAAACCCCTCGAACCCCTCCATGTCATGTCAGAATTATACTCCGTACTCGAACGCTTCGGCTGGGCATCGCAGCTTATCCGGAAGTTTGTTGGTCATTCTATGCATTAGGTTGGGAAGACTTAACCCTTTTCAAAAGGTGGATGAGAGACTTGAGGAAAGTGAAAGGCCGAAGAAGGTGCCACGAATACAAAGATGGTCGACCTTTTATCAATCATATCTCCATATCTCCACATTGAATCATGCCGGATGAACGAAAACCCCATTTTGAACTCTTTCTTCCCACGCACTTTGAGTCGAAAGTTCGAAACTACAAAAATCGAAATGCCGTGATTGGTTTTTCAATGGGCAGAATACCCAACTTCGTACTTAAGAGGGGCAATTTGGTTCTTCTTGATTTGCCAAAGATTTTCGTATTTCGAGCCGGGCCACGCATTTTTCGAATCGGGAAAACCAAAACAACTTGGAAACTTTTGCGCTTATGGCGCAGGCGCACATTATTGAATCATCCATCTCCCTATCGACGCGCGACTTTTCTGGGTGAATGAAGATAAACTTGTCGCGAAATGCTGTTTTTTGTTTATGGTTACTCGAGAAATCACTCCAGACTTGTGCTGTGCTTCCAAAGGTCGAGGACTGCGGTCTACCGGCCAAGTCTACAGTTTCGCGATGGGAGGAGTTCCGCAGAGCTCATTGGATGATCTTCATCTACGCAATAACGGCGTCATGGGAATGAATTGAAGGATTGCGATTGCGACGGACATACGGAATATCATTGCGCAGACCCAACCAGTGTCAATTAGGGTGCACTATACATTGCACCTTGCACAAAATGCACATAGGTACTTATTACTTGCTTGGTCACTTTAGGTTTGAACTTTGAAATGTTATCTCTCAAGGTATCAAATACAATCAACACTTTGTACTCTACCTACCACCTACCTACCTACTCTACCTACACCTACTAAGGTTCCGTCCTGTGCCGGTAGCTACTCCAGTCTCCATACCAGCAATATTAGTACTGTAAGAAGAAAGTAAAAATTTGATGTGTTTGCGACAGAAGTGTCTAGCATTCATCATCTCCAGCATTAACCTAACCTGCTAAGCAGAAACTCTCCACTCTTTTGCATTTTGCCTCTTCCAAGCCCCTCATCATAAATCAATCTGGCTGGACGGATTTATGATGTTACAATGCTTCAAATCCAATTTTGAGCCAAACTATGTCGCACACGATTGAAAGAGAATATGCAGCATTACAAGAACAAAATAACCTGCATTCGCCTTCTGCACTGTTGATAGGTTGTCACGAATCATGTTTTCACTCCGTCCTGTATCCTTCCAGACTTCAATCCACAACTCACTCAATTATATACTTGATACTCTTGACCTTTGCGCCATCCATCCGTTAATGTACCTCGATCATTTTCTAGTGGCGGCCGTCTGACTTTGGCCTAACTTTAGTAGAGCGTAGAGGAGCCAGTTTCTTCTAATCAGCTTCGAGCATAAATGCGATTTGAAACCCGTGGCCAGCGCATACCATGATCCCGGGTCGCAAATCTTTCTTTCGCGATGAAGGGGAAAAAGAATTCAAGCAAAGGTATTCATTCCTACACCGACAAGCAGCAAATCTAATTGAAAAGGTAACATCTATACCCAAAATAAGAAGAAGGGGGAATGCGCGATCCTCTTGATTAACTTGGATCATCAAATTGACTCTTTTCACCTAACCTAATTTCGAAGCGCATCTTTTTACCTCGTGAAATCAAACGACTGCGATGATAGGAAAATCGAACGTTAACCCGTGGACACACCCATGATCATCCCCAAATCATCCCTGCTTTTAGAACGTTGGCGCATAAACATTATTGGTCGGTTATGATGATTTACTCAAGCACTTGGCCTTTGCTTCCCGTGAGTTGTCTCGACCACACTGGTTATTTTTGAAAAAGTAATAGCTGAATCGAGCTACCGGTACGTTTGCATGGAGGAGGGACAGAGTATGTAATACTCTGTATACTATGTATGGAGTGCTCTCAAGGTATAATTTGTTTAATTTCAGTCGTATGCATGCAGCATTTTGCGCTCGGGGACTTTGATGAACTTGCGCACAACAAGGTGACAGACAGACAAGGTGGTGGACATCTCCCACGATCGTTGCGTTGCGTTGCGTTGCGACTTTTCTGATAACTCGTCATTCAATTCATTATGTGAGGGCAGAGTCCATCTACGAATGTTCCGTGTATTTCCTTTCCCTTTCCCTTTCCCTTTCCCTTTCCCTTTCCGTTTCCGTTTCCAAGATCAAGATATTAATAAAAGGATTGCTCAACATGGCCAGCCCGAAACGGGATGGATCGGGACTCGAATCGTGTCTTAATATATTTCAGAGCCGAAACTTGACCACTCTGTAGATGGGTAAGATCTTATGTATGGATTTTATGTTGGAATACTCTGTAGATCCTCCTACCACATATCACTACTTCTCTTTCCAACGGTGGCATTTATCGAGCATGGCTGGTGGCCTGATGGCCTGTGTGAGGATTGGGGAAAAGCGGAGAGTAATGACAGAGCAGAGCATAGCCATACCATACCATACCTATGAACAAGCAGGCATATGAGAGCAAATGAATGAATCGCAGTCAGCCTGAGAGCTTGAGACCATCGATGATGAAAGTAGCCGTAACCATAACCTTCCTGATGAGCGATGAGCAGACATATGAATTTATATGCAAATATGAAAATGAACATCGTGAGCATCTACTCCTTTTCCCGTCGAATTATATGAATTAGTGAGTTGAGGATTAGATAGTCAATTTCATCAGAGACAATTTAAAATAGGAATGACGATGAAAATATGTAGATTTTTAAGCATTATACTTGATTGTGTGCTTGAGCATAGAAGTTATTCAAGTCAAGCCATATTTATGCAAGCAACTAACATATTCTGAGTAACGAGGATCGACTTCTTCCATTTCATCACACACTCACTATTAGAAACAAGACACCAAAAGAAACATACGACTTGATACAATCTCAAGTAAGTCTGATATTCATTTATTAATTCTACAGCATTGCCAGTCAATCACCTCGAGATATCTTTTTCTTAGCCATCCAAGCTTACTCTCTCTAACCGTTCTCTTTTCATAGGTTGTGGGAGACGACATTTTGACAGGACGACAATTTCCAATGCCTCGATAGGGCCTCACAACAACATTCTTTCTCATCACCAGTAAGTTCCCATCCTACTTTAACTCTATGCGATCGAGAAAAATGAGTTCAATATCACTCCCATGTCTCCATTCCATTACAACCGATCTTCCCAGTCACTGTCGCAGAAGGATGGAGTATATTCGGCAGTGCTAGATTGGACGACAATGTCATCACTTCACTCCCCCTTCATCAAATATCTCTCCAATGATTCTCCTCAAGTCTATCATGTGTAATGCTAACAGTATTTTCTAATCAGAACGAACCCTGCCCACCATTCCCCTCTGTTCTCGTCTTCTCGATTGACTTGCGACGACGGCGACGACGGCATACTCCGCCCAACATTCAGGATTTCCGACACCAAACATACATAATTTCAATCAATCACGGACATCTGCGACTGACTTGGCTCTAAATATCTTCTCTGCACACGAATGAAATTAGTCAACATTATAATTGGGTCATTATCTTCTTCAAACGCACCAAATCGAAACGCCGAATCTACCGATCCACCACAGCGACCAAATTCGTACCCAACCCGAAAATCAATCATGTCCGGAATGGATATGCACAATGAAGATGGGCGAAGAGGTACGCCACCCGCGTCTTCTTATGCCGGTAGCCAATTCAACATGAGCACTCCACACTCCAGTGCCATTTCGCCTACCGGAAGTCCTACCCCGAAGAGTGTCGCATTCGAACTCCTCTTTACACAATCCCCCCAACATCGCGCGCGACTACCGATGCGTGTTCAAATCTTCCCTCACGATACTACAGATTCAATTATCGCTACTGTCAAGAACTTTTACGGTCTATATGCAGATGGCGGTGGTGCGAAAGGTGTAAGCTTCGAGGACGAACAAGGGAACACCCTCATCGCACGATATGAGAACTTCAGGAACAACATGGTCGTCTATGTCAGAGTGATTCAAGAAGAACCTTCTGATGCATATGGCCAACAATCATACAGCGCTGGTTCCCCACGCTTACAGCAAGCCTACTATTCGAGCGACGCTCAGAACTTACCACCCCACCAAGCTCTCAATTATGGCCAACCTGTCTCCAGGCCGACTTCGAGGACATCGCGAAAGCGTAGCACTTCTCCTGGCCATGGACGTGGCCGCCGCAGTGCCTCTGCCAGTATCAATCCACCTCTTCCGACCAAAAAGAGTAGATCTCGATCGGGTTTCAAAAGCCGTGGGTCCAGCACTCACGGTAGCTTCCAAGAGCTTCATAGCGATGGATTGAACGGATACAGCAGTGGTGATGGAGGTGCTGGATCCGTCACTAGCAAGGCTAAGAGTGAGCACCTTGGCAACACCGAGATCAGTCTCGATAATATCGTGGAAGGAGGTCGACGAAAGAGAGCCAAATTTGAGAGTTCGGTAAGTTACTTGGTTGCACATGGGTGGACGATATCATTTAAACAATCATACTAATTATACTTTTCAATCAGGAACTCCCTTTGTTTGCGCCACCGCAAATGCCTGCTGCTACTTCTAATTCTTCCGTTTCTCCAGCACGTCGCATGGAACATCAACGATCGAGTTTTCCTTACACCGGATTTTCCCAAAATCCTTTCTCTAATCCACCTAATCTACAATCTCCACAAAGCTATGGCAATGGCTTCGGGGAACCTAACATGTATTCTACTCCGGCAGCGCAGGGTCGTCGGACGCGCGGATCGGATCCCGTTGGACGTCAATCTATTAGCACCCCTGGGAACAGCTCTGGCATACTACCTACTCCAGATCCCACCGTCGGGAGTTGCATGTCAGAGGAGGATAAGGATGTTGCTCTGCAATTGATGAGACTTGGTGACATGTCAAACATTTCTCATGGTCGCACATCTGCATCCACTCTTGATGATACGTTCAGTGGCCGTGCTGATGCCGCTTCTTCCACCGGCGCTACTAGTGACGGCGAGAGTGAGAGTGGAAATGAACTCCCACCTGCTCGTCGCATCAAGCGTGAGCCAAGTCCAATCCTGCCACCAGGACTTTGGAAAAAGACCCTTTCACATCTGGATGACAACCTGCCGACAGATAGTACCGAGCCAAGCAGCGATGAGCGTGACTATGAGGATGGTCAGGATGGAACTTTCAAGCCAGGGCAAGCGGATGACGTTGCTGATAACGAATTAGCAAAGCCCAAAGTTGTTAAAGCTAAGGCCGCTAGAAAGCCTCTACCTTCCTCGTCTATCAAAAGCAAAGTGAGCAGAATTAGCAAACCAAACAGACCAGGGCCTCTTGTTAAATCCAAGAAAGCCAATAGTGTCTCTGCCTCTAGCAAAGGTCCAATCTCACCGACTTCTTTACCATCGCAATCCCGAAAAACCTCCGTGGCATCTACGGCAACTCATCAACACCACCTGGGCGATGACGAAGAGGATCTTTCATCCAAACCACGTTGTCAACGCTGCAGAAAGAGCAAAAAGGGTTGCGATCGTCAACGACCTTGTGGTCGTTGTCAGGATGCAGGACTTAGCATTGATCAGTGTGTCAGTGAAGACGAAGGGAACGGTCGTAAAGGTCGTTATGGGCGCCATATGGGAGTACCTGTGAAGAAAGATGAGCTTCCTCAGGTTCCAATCTTTCCATCAGCGCTTTCTGCGAGTGGTGCAAGCAACCTCGAAAAGAGCAAGAAGAGAAAGAGATGATCTACATCCACTCTACCATCAGCTTGATCATTTCACTTGAAGTATATTAAATGACCCCACGGTTACATTTTGCACCAAAAATTACTTCTCTTAGCAGTGATGAATCGAATATCATCAACTGCCCCGCAATTGGTCATCGTTTTGATGGCATTCCGAAACCAATGTCGCCACAACTATAGCGAACAAAAGTCTTTTAGTGCGCCATTTTCTTGTGTCACAATCTGGATCAACAAACTTTGTTTCGAAGCGTTCAGAAAGCGTTCATACTTCTTCATTTTGTTGTAACTGCTCGTTCTCTCTGTCTAGGTTAAATGGCAAGGTGTTTCTTTTTTCTTCATTATTGTACTTTGGTTTACCTGGTGGAGCGCTTCAAGGCATCTCATTGTTTTTTACACAATCCCGACAATCCTTTTATTATGATTAATGGGTCGACATGAACATACTTATGATTTTCTTTTGTCTTTTTTTATTTGAACTTGCTGCTTTCAATTGGTTCTCAATCGCCTCAAGTTTCAATGATACTCCTTTGCAGCGAGCAGAATAGTTTCCGTTTGTAAGCCCATTTGTCTGTGAAGTTATTTACAACTTGTTTCTATGGTGGAGATGGTTGTTGACGTATGTATCAATGGGAGGGAAACTCAAATTTCTGATGCCAGCGGGGGAGGTTCATTATTTTTGAATGACAAAGCGTGTTTTTCTGTCTTCATTACGAAAGTTGTCTATTTTCCATTTCATGGTTTTGGTTTCAATTCTTGTTCTAGCCCATCTCTACTCTTAGTCTCACTACAACATTGGGGTTGCTTTTAGGGAGTTAGATGGTATGCAATGGAATGGGAGTGAGTTTGGGGATTGTTAAATGGGAACTGTTATTGATTTTCTTTTGATTTTCTGATTGCGATTTGGGTGGGATGCAATGAATGGACTTGGTTTGCGAAAATAGAGAACCAAGAGGATGAATTTGAAGGGGCTGGTGGATGAAAAGAAGGTCTGTGTTATGATTGATTGTATCGAGTCATATTACATTCTCCTTTTTAATATTGAACCTGAAGTGATCAAATGGAGGAAAATTCATGGATACATGTTATGGAATAAATTCAATGAGAAAAAAATATTTGAAATTTATTGTCTGTATTGTACTGTGCTGTGTAGTTTGTGTGTGCTGTGCTGTGCTATGTCTGAAATATCACTCATTGTTAAAGTGAATGGTTCCTGCGTAGCACGTGCACAGGGCACTAGTCCTGTTAGGACTAGATTGAGAAGCTCTCTTACAGAGAGCTTCGCACTTCCGTAGAACTTAGAAGAGAGATTAACCTACTAGACCAATATTACCTCAGTTCTGCCCTATCAGCTTCCCACTATTCCCTGTGTGAGGTCATTCCTTTTAACACTCATGATACTATAGCTACGTCTACCCCTTCATCTTTAGCGATATTAGACTAAGGTAGTGTTACGAGGTTTGCCGTCTAGATCACGTGGAAGTGCTCTAGGCTCTCGAAGTAGGTTTATAACTAGGCGTCAAGCAGGGACTTGAAGTAATGACAATAATGATATGCAATTCGTAACTAATAGTAGAGTATACTAAATGATTGATCTTGAGCACGAAGCTCTATACAAAAGAAATCCATCTTGATTATATAGTCCTTCGTGCCTATGGTTAACTAGGAATCGTCGTTCCTGGTTGTTCCTAGGAACGTTCGTTCCTCACCGTTCCATCACATGTTTTATGGTCATGTGACATACTAATCGTTTTGGACGTAACAGGTAGTTAAATATATTCACTGAAGTCATTCTAGTTATATTATATACTCCGCAAATAACTAAACCTCACAAACACTCACTAGACAGAAAAGAAAAAGATATTATAAAATTAAATAAAGTTATCTATAAAATACTTAATAAAAATCAAATGATTTTTTAAAGGATTAAGAAATTAAAAAAGAAGATTAAGAGATTCAATTTTAAATAAGAAATATCAAGATGGAAATCGGAGTAGAAGTAGAAATAGATCGTTTTGGGATATAATAGTAGGAGAAGAAATATAGAGTAACATTTTCGGAAATGAAATGAAGCGAATGAGGCGGCACTACTGGAGTAACAGGTAATAGGCGGATAAACCCGGATGCGGGGTAAGGTTAGGTTAGGTTTCTTTGGCTCCCGTCTTTGGGTTTGGAGTCACGAGGTGGGGTGCTGGTGTATTGATGTACTGATGGGTAAAGCCGGGGATTTACCGGTGCGCTTGTGGGGTGTGTCTCTACGTAGGAGAAAAAACAGGCCGGAATTGACTACGCACCAATGTAAAAGGTATCCTTCTTTTTATTAAATAATTATAATTATTTATAAAAATATGAAAGAATAAAGTTGATTAGGAGACAATTGAATATATATATAACCATTATATTAAAAAATTATATGATTTTAAACGAACAAATAAGTAAATGATTATATATCAGATTAGAATTAAAATTATTGTATGGTTGTGCATTGGTCAATTCCGGCCTGTTTTTTCTCCTACGTATAGTGTGTTATGTAGGTTAGGAAGCACGGAGTGGAGTGGGGTAAAGTGAGTAGGT